AATAAAAGCAAAGCTGCACTCCTAAAGCTAACCTGCCACCACCACACAAAATCTAGAACTCCTAAATCAGACCAACACCTGAGTAATTCTAAGCTCAAATCATAATTATCTGGGGCTTCTTTTCACAGAGATGGGTAAACAAGCAGCTTCAAGGCAGATGTTTTTATTAGCTGCCTACATTAAAGGTTCCCATACCTCACCAAAAAATTTGCACATCAAAAATTCCTTTCCACACGTGGAAGCCTCATGTTCTGAAGAAACCCTGCAAGGCAGGCTTCCCTGTAAATCAACCCCCTCTTTAAGTGACACACCTCTGTGCTCGTGTGAGGCCACAGCACTCACCTACAGCACCCCAGATGGATGTGTCCACATCTGTCAAACAGATTTGGGTTCAGCCCCGAGGCACCAGGAATGCAGCTCTGCCCTGTGCCACGAGGCTTTTGTATGACAGCCCTGTTCTCACCTGCTAGGACATCCCATTTCAATCAGGAAAAAAACCCAAACAAACAAACAGGAAAATTGTGGACAAACAAGCTGGTGGCTGAGGACGGCAGTCAGAACACAAAATTTCTGTCTGCAGTTCTGCTACACGTTTTTATCTGCCCACAGGAAGGGCTTAACCTCGCCTGTGGAGAAGGGATATGACAGACACACTGTTTCACAAGAGCTGCAGTGGTACAGTTCTTTGCCATTTCACCAGTGAACAAAGGGTATTCCTGCAGGGAAATAGGGAGGCTCCTACTGCAGCTCACAGCTCTCCTCAGCTCACGCTGAAAGCGAGAGCAGTGGCAGCCACAGCTCCCCGGACAGGGACAGCCTCCTCCTCCTCCCGGCTGAGGCAGCGCGGCTGTCACTGCTGGGAACTGCTGCCCTCTGGCGATGCACCAAACAGCCGGAGCTCCCGCCTGACAAAACCGGATTCGCTGCCACACAGAAAGAAAACGCCCCACGGTAACGACCAGCAGGTCCCAGGGCACTCAGATTTCACGTGGGTTCACCCAGACCCCTCAGTTCTGGTCTTATGAATTCATAAAACACCTTCTTGCAAGCCAAACTCAACCTAAAGCATGATTTTACCCAGCCCACCCCCACGTTTCAGAGGTAAAAGCACTCAGGTGTTAAGCCTGTTCAACAAAACACATCCTACTGCCTGCTCTTTGTCATGGATTGTGAACATCACCAGGGAAAGTGCCAGCCAACATCCTGCCCCCAGCACGGGACCTGGACCAGCCTGAAGGAATAAAACATCCCCATTACCCCCATCCCTTTGGACCAACTGCTTCCCTCCTGGTCTCAGCCTTCACACTGGCAGTGCCACTGGGAAGCTCTGCCAACCAGTATAAACACTGTGCAGCTGGGGAAGCCTCAGTGAATTTACAGCATGTTTTGAAGTCGAGCAAAGACTGATGTCTGCGTATAAGGACACTCTGCAGGAAATCTTGGCCTCGTTTTCCTTGAGGTCCGTGTTTACTCATGATAAAAACCAAAACCAGTGTAAAGGAAAGAGAAGAGCCACTGTTTTTCAGAGCCCAGGTGCAGCCTGCCCACAGCACAGCAGCACCCAGCTTGCACCAGGCCCACAGTGGACACATCCCATCTGCCAACTTACTTGACTTCCTCACCAGCAAAATCGAACGTTTTGGTGATTGTCACTTTTCCTGAATCTTTTGGCTTCTCCTGGAGCTTATTCCCACTCTTCTCTTCTTCAGCCTACAAAATACAGGAAGGAGAAAGCAAAATAACGTGTTTGTGGAGCCAGGCAAAATCACCATTCCATGGGGCCCAGGACCCAGCACAGACCTCAGGCAGCACTGCAGTTTAGGCTGGGGGTCAAAGCACGTCACCCACAGACAAGAAAAAGGACATAAATGCCCCTTCCACCAGAGTGAAATCCCCATTTTGGTTCCAGGTTGCCATTGGAGTTCTAGGATCAAAACAGCCCCACAAACAAGAAGTGAAATGGTAATAAATGTAGGAAGGAGCACTTTGCGGTGGTTCAGAAAGCAAGCAAAAAAAAGACTCACTTCTCCCAGACTAAGCACCACCAGGCAGTAAAGCTGCCAGGGTGGATTCCACAAAAATATGTTTATTTTTTCTCAAGAATAGAGAAGAACACAACCCATCAGCGGGAAAAGCAAGGCTGATCTTCACACTTGTCAATAATGTCTCTTTAATTTGAGAGGGAAAATTCTTTATTAAGCAACTTGTCAACAATGTCTCTTCATTTACTCTCAGCTACAGCTTCTAAAAAAGTACATAAAAACCCTCAGACCCTATAAATAATCAAAACAAACCCCCCAAATTCTTGCTCTAAATCAACCACACACCACAGAGATCTTCAAGCAGACAACTCAAGTCCAAGTTAAGAAGAGAACAGAGAAACTGCATCTCTCCATGAATTATTCCAGGCTGTGGAGGAACTTCCAAAGACCACTCACAATTTAGCAACTTGCCCATAGAAGCAGAATTGCTCAGAAGAAAAAAAAAATCACTCTGTCCTGCCCCCTGATTCTACCTGTACCCACCCCAGCTGCTCAGCCAGCAACAAGGGAGAAGCAGGAGGGCTCAAGTGACAGGACTCTTCTTCCAAAAGCTGCAGCCAAAGATACACAACTACACTTGCCCTGCAGCCTTCCAACAGTCACAGGAAGAAGCCTCACACACTCAGAACTGTACTTGCCAGGCTCAATACTTTTCTGGCTGACCATTTTCACTAACCCAATCTGACAATTCTAGCAACACAGGGTCAGTGTTGGTGCCACCTTCAGCACGAAAGGCTTGGCAAGGCAAACACAGCCATTTGGTTTCGCTGGGAACCAAATCCTTCTCAAAGCTGATCATCACACACAGAATCCTCTCCCCAGAAAAACCCCTGCAGACCACGAGCACCTTACTGGGGCTCATGGGGGAATGAGAGAAAGGCAGATCCAGCGCTGTGGCAAACATGCACCCCGACACGCAGCACCCTCCCAACCCCCAGTGTGTGAGGATGAAGGCAAGGCAGAGATGTCAGCACAGGCCTCTTCTGTTTCCCCACTCACACACACACAGATACACAGACTCCTTTTTTTCCCTTCTGAGCACCAGGAAAGGCACAAATCCCCGGGAGAGCTGTACCCACAAGCACAACTCTGACCATGGTGCCGTTCCTGTGTCACAGGGAGAATCCAGGAGCAGGAAGAGAAGCCAAGGTTGCTCCGTGGGACCCTCTGGGATGCTGGGAAGTGGCTCCCAAAGCAGCACTGCCACGTCACAGACCTCCTCAGGTGGAAGGAAACCAGCACCCCCCAGTCTGGCCCATCATGGCCTACAAAGCAGAAGGGTAGGGGCAAACCCAGCCTGCTGCCAGCTCTGCCTGACATCTGGTACCTGCCAGAACCCACTGTGTGCTCTAAACCTGCAGGCCCTGCCCACGCTCCCAGGCCCCTCTTACCTTCTTGGCTTGTGTGCCATGGGTGGCAGCCCCTGCTCTGGGTTTCTGTCCCACGTCACTCAGGAAACTGGCCCAAAGAGCATCCTCTTTCTTTTTTTCTTCCTCTTCTCTGCTTCTTTTCACCTGCTCTGCATAATCCACTTCCTCCTCTTTCTGCTCCTCTCCATTCTGCTGAGCCTTTTCTTCCTCTTTCTCGTCTGGCTCTAGCAAGAGACCTCCTTTCTTCCTCTTCCTGAAAGCAGGCACAACAACAACAAAAAAAAATATATATAGGTGCTGCTACATCATTCCAGAGCTGAACTGTTAGCTTGAGTGAAGCAATGTGGTATTTCACATTCCCACTAAGACATTCGACCTGGGAAGTTCCCTCTGACCTGGGGGGTGAAGGTATTTAATTAAAAGATGCTGCTGCTCAGAAAACACAGTGAGACTGATGCAGGCAGTGCACACGTCTGTGAGCACACGATGTGGGCAGGCCCTGGCACAGGCTGCCCAGAGAAGCTGTGGCTGCCCCAGCCCTGGGAGTGTCCCAGGCCAGGTTGGAGCACCCTGAGCTGGTGGAAGGTGGAAGGTGTCCCTGCCCACGGCAGGGGGGTGGAATGAGATGGGCTTTAATGTCCCTTCCAACCCAAAGCACTCCAGGGTTCTGTGGTTCTGGAATACTGCAAGAACCAGGAGGGCAGGAGGACTTGGGCTGCTCCGAAACCAATCTCAAATAAGGAATATCTAGACGGGGTTTTCTCCCACTGACGGGTGCTTTGCACTTAAGAAGGCTTATGAAAACGGAAGCAGCTCCCGCGGGGGAGGGTTTTCAGGCACGGTCCGCCAGGCCTGGGGCCGCTCCCGACGCCGAAGCGGGGCGAGGAGCAGCGTCCCCCCTTCCCCCGCCCCTCCGCGGGCCGGGTCCCCGCGGCCGTACCTGCCGGAGGGGTGGCGGGGGCTCCTCCTGCCGCCAGGCGGCCGCGGGCTGTCGGCCGGCTCGTCCTCCCGCACCAGCTCGCTCTCGTCGTCCTCGCTGTACTCGGCACCTGCAAGCGCAGCCACTGAGCACCGGCACCGCCGGCGCCGCCGGGGCCGCCGGCCCCCGCCCGCCACCGCTCACCTGAGGGCACGTAGTCGTCGTCGTCGGCCGAGGAGTACTGATCCTGATCCTGATCCTGATCCTGATCCTGATCCTGCTCCGACTCCGACCCCGACCCCGACCCGGCCATGGTGCAGCCCCGGCCCCGCCGCCTCACGCTCCTCCCGCCGCCGCCTAGCGCACCCGCTGCGCACAGAGCGCCGCCCACAGCGCCGCGGGCGCCCCCTGGCGAGCGGGAGGAACGGCCTCGCCTCCCAGGCGGCGGCGCCGCTGGCGAGGAGCAGCGGAGAGAGTCCTCCAGAGGGCCAGAGCGTCCCGCCGATCCCAGCACCCCCCGCGGCCCACAGCCGTTGCCATGGCAGCGCGGGGGAGGGCGGGGCCCGGCCGCGCCGAGGCGAGCGGCGGTTGGCGGAAAGCGCTGCCCGTCACCGTGCGGCGCCTCCCATTGGCCGGGCGGGCGGAAGGGGCGGATGCGGATGGCGGCGGGGCGGCGGGGATGGAGGGCGGCGATGCGGGCGGCGGGGGCCTCCTGCAGCAGATCCTCAGCCTGCGCCTCGTGCCCCGCGTCGGCAACGGCACCACCACCTACTCCAGCCCGCTCTCCACCTTCCCAGGTACCTCCTCGCGGCGGGGCCCGCCCGGCGGCAGCGCCGCGGGCCCCGGGCCGCCCTCACGGCCTCTCTCCCCGCAGAGATGTGGTACGGCGTCTTCCTGTGGGCCCTCGTCTCCTCCCTGGCCTTCCACGTCCCCGCCGCTCTGCTGGCGCTGTTCACGCTGCGGCACCACAAGTACGGCCGGTTCATGTCCGTGAGCGTCCTGCTGATGGGCATCGTGGGACCCATCACGGCCGGCACCCTCACAAGTACGGCGGGACCCGGCGCCGCGGGGCGCTCTGTGCCGAGCGGGGGTCGCCTCCACGCGGCGTCCCCCGGCACGGAGATGAACGCTCTGGCTCCGTGTCCGCCCTTCCCCCGCGTTTGTCCCCGTTCCCTGCCCCGGTTCCACACCCCGAGGCCTCCCGGCCGTGCCCGCGGCGCCGCAGCGAGTGCCGCGCTCACAGCTCGGTTTTTCACCCCCCCGCAGGCGCTGCCTTTGCTGGAGTTTACAGAGCTGCGGGGAAAAAGATGATCCCCTTCGAGGCCCTCATTTTCGGCGTGGGGCAGACCTTCTGCGTGGTGGTGGTGTCGTTCCTGCGCGTCCTGGCCACGCTGTAGCTCCCCCTGGGGCGGCTGCAGGGCACGAACCCGAGCGGGGGGAAGGACCCGGCGCCTGCTCCGCCTCTGGAACAAATCCCAGATCACAGCTCGGGGCTCGTGCCTCCTCCGCTGGTTTAAGGAATTGGGAAGGCCTGCTCCTGCCTCTGGTGTGGCTCGGAACTAAGCTGAAAACTGTGAATTTCGTTACTTTTTGGTAACATTAAGTGCCAAGTGAGATTTATTTCCCTGGAGGATGGGAAGGTGGCTGCTGGAGGGGGAGGCCCACAGACCTTTCAGCAGTGATGAGTTGTAGCCCCGGGACAGAGCTGAGAGGTGACACTGCCTGTGCTGGGGGGAGCAGCACCACAGGGTGTGCCCAGGGCTCGCTCAGTGCTCTGAGCTGCTGTTGCTTTGATCTCAGTGAAACTGAAGCTCTTTTAATGTGAATTTGCTTTAGATTAAAAAATCAATTTGTTTTCCTTCCCGACTCCTCCGTGCCAGGTGGCAGTGTTAGTGGACTGGGGGAGCAGCTCCAGGGTTGAATCCTGGGGATGTGGGATGGTGTGGGCAGCCCCAGGCTCTGCTGTGCTCCGGGTCTGTTCCCAGCCTGGTGGGACTCGCTTCCCTTCGGTGTCTTTGCTGAGCTCCTTTGGTCTCCAGACCAGCCCCTCTGTACCTGCAGCTCTCCCCCGACCCTCTGTGTGAAACAACTGGATGTGTGCTCTGTTGCTGGCAAGAGGTGTTCTGCAGGAGCTCCTTGCTGAGACTCAGTTTTAGCCCAGTTCAGGGTGTAAAGCTGTGCATTTTAGGAAGGAGTTCAGTGTGAATCCCTCTCCCTGGGGGTGTGAGGTCCCAGTGGTGTTAACATTGAAGCCTGGCTCTGTGGAGTGCCCTGTGTGCTGTTTGCAGAGCCAGCACAGCCCTGGGGGGAGCTTGGGCCTCCCCTGCCCTCTCTGGGGACAAAAGCAATGACAAAGCAGGAGTAGGGATCTCTCTACTGTCCTTCCCCCTTCCAGCTTCTCAGCACGTGTCTGGAGTGCCTGGTTTAATTCACAGGAACCACCCTGAGCCTTCCTGGGTGGACTGAAAGTCTCTCATGGGGCTGGGATTGGGTGGGTCTGGCCTTACCTTTCAGGTGATGCCAGAAATGCAGAGTCCAGGCACTCGCTGTGCTCCCCTTTCCCCCGCCCCAGTGCCTGGCATCCCTCAGTAGCCACTAAGCTGATTGCAACTGGGAAAGCACTTTATCCACGTGCCCTGTGCTCCAGCACGAGGAGGGTTCCTGTGCAGGAAGGGGGCTGAGGAATGCAGGGCACAGATGGGGCTGCTGCAGAGCTCAGAACAGCGCTCAGGAAAATCACTCAGTGCTGGGCAAACTGAAAACTCCCTTTCTCTACCCATTCAGGCCTCCCAAACTCTTGCTTTGAGGTGGTTCTGGAGAACTGGAACTTGGAGAACTGGCAGTTTGACTACTGTTTGGATGTGGTTTGAGTTGGTGGTGCCTCTCTGCGCCCACACACTGAGAAATTTTTAAGGAATTCTCACACAGAAGGTGAACAATCAGTTTCTGATTTGTCTTGACAGGTGTTAGCGCTGAGGGCAAGTTCTTTGTGTCATCTTGGTGCTTGCAGAGCATCCTCCCCTCCCCTGGCTGCCTCCCCACCCTCCTCTCCAGTAAAACCAGACCCAAATGGGAAGCAGGAACAGCCTTGGTTGGTCATTGAAGGCAGTTTCCTCCCCTCTCACCACTTTGGCCTTCCCTTTCCACTCCTTTATCCCTGGGGAGGCGTGTGGAGGAATCCCATTTCCAGCAGGCATTGGCAGACTTTGCTCAGTCAAACTTGCCAAAAGCTGCAAAGAGCCTGTGAAAATGTCAATGCTGAGGTGTCCCGGGCTGGGCAGCTGGGAGGCCCTGCCAGAGAGCCCAGCCAGGCATCGCTCAAGGAAACACCTTCCAGAGAAGCTGCCTGTCCTGGAGGAGCCCTTGGCTCGTGTGGGAGCTCATGGCCCTGCTCTCTGTGCAGCATCCCCCCTGCTCCCACCCGGCCTCCTCTCCTGCTCACGGCCGTGGCTGTCATGAACAAATCTTTGTATGATCGAAAATTCTGTAAATTTTATTTTTCTACTGACACTTCTAATCCTGGTGGTGATTATCAGTAAATTCTGTACCTGTTGAAGTGAACCACGTCGTGTGTTTCTCCTGCAGTGTGACAAAGGGGCCTGGGTTGTGTGTTTGGAAATGAGCCTCGCTCCTACCTCGTTTGGGGCAGGTTTGTCCTGCCAGGGGCCATCTGCACCAGGAAATGTCCTGACTGGTGGTTAATGATGTGTCCATTAGAGCAGGACCTGTGCCTGCAGCCAGGCACCAGCCTGAGATGACATCTCACCCCTGCTCAGCTGCTGTCCCTGTCCCCGAGGGGACCTGCAGGGTCCCTGCAGCCCCTGGGCTTGGTGCTGCCCTGCTCCCGGCCCCTGGGCCGTCCCCCCCGATGGGATGAGTGTGCTCAGAGATCAGAACGGGCCTGAAGAACTCACAGCCGAGTCGGGGGGCGGGCGGGAGGTTTTATTGGCAGTAAAAGGTCAGCACGTTCTCCTGGTTCCCTCGGGTGAGGATGACGGGGGGTCTCAGGTCCTGCGAGAGGGTCTCGAGCCAGGCCATGTAGAGGGCGCTGGGGCAGCGTCCCTTCCTGCCGATGGGCGGGGTGCTGCGGCACAGCGGGGCTGTGAGCGGGGCCGGGACAGCCCCTCCCACTGCCCTGCAGGTGACTGGGGCAGCACCGCGTCCTCCTCCCCCCGGCAGGGCCAGGCCAGACCCCTCGGTCCCTTCCCAGGGCTCTTCCCTGTGTTGTGGCACCGTCCCACCACAGCATTAGGGTGCCTGTCTGGGATTTCCCCCCAGGAAGGGGTGAGCATCCAGAGGGGCAAGAAACGGGCACGAGGGCATTGCTGGCACCTACATGGCTATGAGTGCTGCATCCCGTGAGTAATCCAGCAAAATCTCGTTCAGCCTCACCTGTCGGAGCGACTGCGGAGCAAAGAGAGTTGACAAACGCAAAATTAAGGTTTCCAAAAAGACCAAATTTTGTCTGAAAAGCAGGAGACCCTTTGCAGGACCCACCCCCGGGACTGGTGCTACCTTGGCTCTGTTTTTATCAACCTCCTCATCAGAGATCTTCCAGGGACAGCCCTGCCTCATCTCGTTCACCGTGGCCTCGTCCTTGAAGCCATCGTTGAGCCTGAAGGGAGCGATCAGGTCGTCGAACCTCTTGATGCTGCAAGACAAGCAGATGGTGAGTGGGAAGAGGGGCTGGGCAGGTTTGGGGGTGCTGGGGAGGCAGGGGAAGGGGGCTGTTACTGCTCTGGCCGGGGTTTCTGGTTGATGTCGGGGAGGATGTGGACTTCGTGGAAGCCAAGGCGGAACTTGCTCAGCAGAGAGACAATCCTGCCCGAGGGAAAAGGACACGTTTGCCCAAAATTAGCAGGGAAGGGCAGCTCTGGCAGGGACCTGCCATGGCAGAAAGCCCTGCTGCTGGCCTTGGTTTGCACTCTGGGTGTTCCCACTCAGCAGCCACACGGATTTTCAAAGGAGTGAGGCAGGGCAGCCCAGTCAGAGCTCACAGATCCCACGGGACTCGGAGCAGGAGGGAGGCAGCTCCTGCCACCACCCGTGGGGACAGTGGCAGTGGTCGAGGGGCTAAGAGGGGCTGTGGGGCCATCAGCACTTACGCCTTCCTCTCCTCATCCATCCTGTTGATCTGCCCCCCGACAAACACCCGGATCTTGCACTTCCCCCACCGCTTCTTGCGCCCCAGGAGGTATGGGATGAGCAGCGTGAGACCTGTCCCAAAACACGTCATGGGAGACGCGGCAGTGACCCCCAGGCTCAACAATGCCCTCCTGATGCCAAAGGCCAGGGATGCCCTGGCAGCCCTGGGCGAGGACAGAGCCCTCCTGGGCAGCACGATGGAGATGCTGGGCTCACAGTGGCTGGACAGGTGGGCAGCCACAGCAGCCCAAGGGGAAGGTTACCTCCATCATCGAAGAGCCAGTAAATGTCGATGGTCTTCTTGCCCTGCTCGCTCTGGAAGATGGTGCTCGCCTGCTGCTCGCCAGCCAAGGCGCTGGAGTTCACTGCTGGGGCAAGAGGGTCAGCAAGGCCGTCAGCACAGGGCACTGCCGGCTGCAGATTGAAGGCACCACCTCCTCCCGGTCCCAGCCCTGCTCCCCTCACTGCAAACCTGGCTCCCCAAAAATAACCCTCAGAGCTGGGGATGCTCCAGAGGGCCCAGAGCCAGGATCAGCCTACCTGAGCTTGGGGCTGCTCTGCTGCCAGTGCCGTTCTCGGGGTGCTCTGCTGCCTCAAACGTGGGGTTAACTGAGGAGGGAGAAGAGCCCAGGCAGTGCCTCACTGCCCCAATTCCCTCTGATCCCCCAGGACTGGGACATGGTATGGGGACACGGTGCTGGCTGGCACATCCTGCAGCTCCGCTGAGCACCCCAAAATCACTTACCATATGCCTGCAGCACTCGGGAAACATTCAGCCCTTCCTTCATCCGCATTAAGCACACGCCGTACTTGAAATCAAAGGCGTCGCTGAAGGAGGGAGGAGAAGGCTGTTAATGGGGCAGCAGTGCCAGCCCAGCCCGCAGTGGCCACACTGTCCCTGTCAGCAGCCACCACCAGGCGCTGGTGGCCCGGGAGGAGCGGCCTGGCCGTACTGCAGGATGCCCACGTAGTCCTCCAGGCTCTGCGGGGACGCCGTCCGCCAGTCCCTCTTGTAGCCCAGCACCAGGATGTTGGGTCTCATCTTCCCGAGGCCGGCAGCCTACGGATAGGTGTCCCCATGAGACCCTTCCTCAGGGACAGATGGACACAAGTGGTGTCAGTCCACAGGGCACTGGAGGTTGGGGAGGGGGCTCAGAGCCCCCCGAGCTGTGATGAAAGAGGAGGGACCCTGGTGATCACAGCCAAAGGCGGCTCTACCTGGAGGAGCATTTGGACTCCGCTTCTCAGATCCTCAGCCACCACATCCGTGTAGAAAGCCTTGATCTTCCTCTTCATGAGCCACTTGGCGTGTCCATCTGCCGTCAGCCGGGACTCCGGCATCTTCTGCTTCCGCGGGCCCTGCAGGCAGCAGGGGCAGGGGCTCAGGCAGCCCCTCGCAGCTGGTGGTCCTGCCACCAAGGACCTCTAGCTCCTCTCTTCCCAAATCATTGGTAAGAGGTGGATGTAACCACTGCACAGGTGGGAGGTTGCAATCACAGCAAGAACAGCAGTGGATCCGGTGGGTGGGCAGCCAGTGCACACGATGCCTGCAGTCCCACACTTCAGTCCCCACCCCGTGGCCCACCAGGACACATCTGGATTTCCCAGCCCACTGTCTATGGGTGGCTGGAGCTGCCAGGACAAGGAACCAGCTGGTTTCTGCAGGTGACTCACGATCAGCACGTTGCCACAGAGCATCAGGCTGAGGTTCTTGGTGAAGGTGCCCACAAAGTCCACCAGAGCTGGGCGGAAGTTGGGCGGGCCGGTCAGCACCAGGCACTGCGGTCTGCGGACAGCAGGGAGGAGGAGTGAGGGGTGGTGCTTCGGAGGCAGCTCTCTGGAATGAACTGCAGCTCCCCTCCCATGCCTGACCAGTGGCAACTACAGGGAGCATCTTTAGGATGAGAAAAAATGATATGGAGGAGGATCCAGTCTCACTCTTTGCTCTCATCTGATGTAAAGAGACCAGAGTGCCTGCATCTGCCTGGTACAGGGAGGGCAGCGTTCACTCAGCTTTCACCTCTGCTGGCATGGCACAGACGTGGGGTTTTGGAGACAGACACATCTTGCCGTAGCTCCTGGTTACTGAGGGTGGTGGTGAGGATGTGGCCACGGGCACAAAGCCATCCTGGGTTTACTGGGAGTGGTGGCTGGTTCTGTCCCCCCTCCCTCCATGCGCCCAGCACCTCACTGAGCAACCCTTGCCTGTAGTTCTTGATGTGCTCGTCCACTTCGCTCAGCCCCACCGAGTAGTTGAGGGCCATGTTGTAGGAGCTGGCTTGCATGGAGGAGCCCCAGTTGACATCTGCAGGGGAAGATGGATTGGCAAAGGGCCCAGACACCTCCCGGGCGTCGCTGCGCTGGGGCACTGCCACGCACCCGGCTTCTTGTAGAGCACGTATCCCAGCAGGAAGATGACGATGCCAAAGGCGATGAGGGCCGCCCACCAGGTGAGCAGGAACATGATCACCACCGAGACGGCGGCCCCGAAGAGCGCAGCCCACTTGCTGTAATACCGAAAGGAGGGTCGCCAGCCTGCACGCAAACACACACAGCGGCCGCTGCCGCGCCGGCTCCGCACGGCAGCACCGCCGCACGGCACGGCACGGCCCGGCACGGCCCACCTGGGGAGTTGGTGATGGAGGCGTGGAAGCAGCTGAAGTTGATGAGGGCGTAGGAGCAGAGGAAGAAGTTGGAGATGATGGGGGCGATGGCGTTGAGCTCGGCTGTGGGAGGAGGAGAGCACAGCGAGCCGTCAGTGGCAGGGACGGGGCCACCCGGCTGGTGTCAGCTCCCAGGAGGGTGCCAGGGTGGCACGGACCTACCGATGAGGATGAAGCCGATGGCGATGACGTAGGTGAGCATGTAGCCACGGATGGGCTCACTGTTCCTCCCATAGCCCTTCCCGAAGAACCCGATGAGCGGGTAGAGCTGGTCCCTGCAGAGACACTGCGGGGAGAGACACGCTGGGGATGCTGAGCTTCACTGGAACAGGGGATGGCAGCATCCCCCTCACCCCAGAGCTGCTCACAGCTCTGCACCCGAGAGCATCACCCACTGCCAGGCTTGGGGACGGGAACTGGGGTATGTGGGCACACCACCCTCTCACCTGGAAGACTTTGGGGGCTGAGACGAGGCAGGCCAGTGCCGAGGAGAGGGTAGCACCAAAGATCCCTGCTGTGATGAGGGGCCCAAATCCAGACACCATGCTCATGCTCTGCGTGAAAAGCAGGGGGTCAGGAACCCTGGCACCCCTGCTGCACCAACCTGCCCCAGCCCTGAGGGATTTCCAGCCCCCAGGCCCCATCCTGCCACCCTCAGTGCTTTCCCATCCACATCATCCAGCTGGCAAAGTCCAGCCATGTCCGCAGTCCTGAAGCAGACGCTCCCTGGTGCATCCCTGTTACAGGGGTGCTGTAGCAGCACGGGTGCCCCCCCGGCTGCCCTGGGGAATCCATCCCCAGCAGCACAAACGCAGCCAGGAGCAGGAGCTGGGGGATGTGGTGCTGAGCAGCACCTGGTAGTAGTTGCTGAGCCCGTAGCGGCAGCTCTGGCGCTGGGCGCAGGCGCTGAAGTTCCAGCCGAAGCCGCAGGCCAGGCCCTCGCAGCCCGGAGACCCCACGGCCACGCTGTCGTTCAGGCTGCCCGAGGCGTCGCGGACCACGCAGGCACCTGGGGGCACACAGGGCTAGGGCAGGGCTGGCATCTCCCCACGGTGTCACACAGCCCAGCCCCACATTTCCCGTGACAACCCCCAGCCCCTGCCATGGGGCTGCCCCACTGTGTGGTGGCTGTGAGCAGTGCCGTGAGCTCTGGTACCCACCCAGGAGGACTCTGCCCCACCTGGAGGCAGGAGCAAGGTCTGGCACTCATGGCATCCACCCCGGGGTATCGGTGCCAGTGTCCACAGCTTGCTCCTGGCTCCCACCCAGCTGCATCCTCCCCGGTCACCCATTTTGGAGTGGGAGGCCAGCCCATCCACCCAGCTCACCTGAGAACAAGCTGCTTACCAATCGTAGCAGAAAGCACCAGGTAGGACACAGTGGTCCAGAAAATGGCCATCAAGGTGCCCTTGGGGATGGCCACGGCAGGATCCTGCCCAAGGGAGTCACAGATACACATAAGACAACTTTCCAGCAGCACCACTAATGTGGCATTTTATTTGTGGTTGATACACGAGAGAAATTTGAATTCACTGCATCACAAAGCTGTAGAGCAACTCCTGGCTGAGCCTCTCCCAAAGCTTACAGAAGAAATAAACCAGAGTCTAATGGTTGGATCAAAATGAAAGCCCTGGGGAAAACAGGGCTTGAGCCCTGAGAAATGCCAGCTCTGGTCACAACCCACCTTCAGGTCACCCGAAATGTTGGCCCCAGCCAGGATGCCGGTTGCAGATGGGAAGAAAATGGAAAACAAGCCAAAGAAGGAGCCCTCGGGCCCACGCCAGTTGGGCACGAAGTTCTGGGCAAAGATATCAGCTGGGGAGGAAGCAGAGAAGCAGCATTTGGGGGCTCCAGTTGCCTTAGTGCTGGCTGAAGCACCTCAGCACTGGATGGAGGCACAGCACTGACGGCAGGGCACCCACGGGAGGGGACACTGCTTTTAATGACACCTCAGCAAGGAGAACCCTCCCATAGCAAACATCTCCCCCAGCAAGAGCAAAGAGCTGGGCTCCAGCGCTGCCCTGGGACCTGCTGAGCACAACCCCAGCCCGGGGTGGACCCACCTCGGTAGCTGAAGAAGCCCTTCGCTTGCTTCTCGGCGCTGGCCGGGATCACCGTCCCCACCAGGTAGTTTATGAAAGAAACCAGGATGACCAGGAAGAACAGAATCTGTGCCTGCCAGACCAGAAAGAGCCAGCTGAGGGGGTGGGGGACAGGGCACAGAGAGAGTGAAGGCTGCGTTAGGAGGAACCCTGGCCCGTTTTTGGGGAGCTACAGTCATCCTCTGCTCCTCAGCTGCCTGGTGGGCAGCAGGGACAGCTCTTGGCAGCCCAAGGGAATAAGTGAGCAGAAGTGAGGGTTACCTTGGCCTCCCACTCCATGCCAGCCAGGGAGATGCCCAGCAGCACCGTCACAGTGACGACCCCAATGATGCGGATGTCGTTGATGGGGTCCACAATGAGCGAGTTGTGCTCCTGGGGAGGGGGAACCGTTCAGGATGTGGAAATGACCCTCCCCCTTACTGACCCACCGGGATTTCCGGGAGTTTCGGCAGCTGCAGTTTGATTACCAGCAGTCCAACACTAACACAAATGTTAATTAATGCTGCCTGTGCAAGGAGAAGGTGAGGATGGAGCGAAGGGGGAATGAGGGAGCCGAGGCAGGTCCTCACCTGCAGCAGGTCCCGGACGGTCTCCGCAAAGCCCACGGTGTGCATGGCCACGGCCACCGCGTTCGCAAAGGCAAAGATCAGCCCGATGGAGCCGCCCAGCTCTGGCCCGAGGCTCCGGGAGATGAGGAAGTAGGTGCCTCCTGAGGCAGAGGGAGCACCCCGTGGCATTACTGCCTCCCCACAAGTATCTGGGGACCCCCCTGCACCTCGCAGCCCCTGCCAGGAGCTCACATCCATAGAGCAGCCCCAGGGTGAAGGAGACCCCCGGGGTGACTGGGAGGGAAAAAACTACCTGACTTCACTTTGCCATTGGTGGATATGGCAGAGATGGACAAGCCAGTTATGGTGGTCACTGTCACAGACATCAGGATGATGAGCCATGTCAGGGCTGCGGGGAGAGGGCACAGCTTCAATCCTGCATCCCCCCAGTCCCACAGACCCCCCTGCCTTCCCTAGGAGACCCACAGAGACCCTACACATCGCTCCACGCTCAATGCCACGCCATTCCCACCCCAGGTGCTTGGGTGATGGCGAGCCCAGTGCCCCCATCCAGCTCCCAAGGAACCACAGCACCCACCGATTCCTGCCTGGGCAGTGATCCAGGGCAAGCGCAGGTAGAGGATGACTCCCCAGATGTTCAGCATGCAGCGGATCTGGGGGGACAGAGAAGGGTGCTGGCCATCAGGGCACGGCCAGGCCCTGCTGTTCCTGAGAGAAAACCACCCTGCTGAGGAGGGCAGGGAACTGCTCACAGTGCAGGCACTTGCAAAAAATATGGATATTGGGAAAAATGCAACAAGGGGCAAACGCTTGGGGGTGGGGGGCAGGAGGACGCTCTGTGGGATGAGTCACTCACCATGACGCCCTTCACCCATCCAAAGCGGACAGGTTCTGCCACAGAGGCTCCACCTGGCTCCCCTTCTGCCTCCTCCAGCCCAGGCTCAGGCCCAGCCTCGGGCAGGCCATTGCTGTGCTGGGGGTCACACACCGCAGGGTGCAGGCGGCCCGGCTCGGGCTGTGGGGCGAGGGGAAGGCAGGTGAGGGTGGGCAGCAGCCACACAGCCCTGGAGGGAACACTCTGGCTGAGCACACAGCTGGAAACAGCTGGAACCAGCTGGGTTCCCCCTCCAGCTTCTCCCGGGGCCTTTCCGGGGCACAGCACCAGTCACGGCACCGAGAGGCAGGACCCAGAGTGACACCGCACAGACACACGGCAGGGACCGGTGGCACGGCCAGGGAGAGCCACGGGCACAGCCCAGCCCCCGTTACCTTGAGGATGGAGTGCAGGTCGGCCAGCGAGGGCCTGCCCTTCCTGGGGTCGCCCACCCCCTTGCTGTTGGCGTAGTGCTCGTAGGCGGGCACCACGTCCACCGTGTTGTAGCCGAAGGTCCTGGTGCAGAGGGTGCTGCCCGAGAGCTGGGTGGGCTGGGCGCTGTCACAGCTGGCCCCCTCCTCCATGCCCAGCAGGGTGCTGATGGTGAAGCGGCCGCTGCAGCGGGCGGGGGGCAGGTCTGGGATGGGCAGCTCGGCCATGGCCCCTGCCCGGGTGGCTGCCAGGTGGGGGACAGGGGGGGAGAGGGTTTATAAAGGCTCGCCCGCTTTATACCCCGCGAAACCGGAGTGAGGCAACCGGCACACACCCACCACGGATGCTAATGCAGGAAAGGAGTCGGCTCGAACCACCCCGAGCTGGTCAGGAGGAAAAAAATAGCTGGAAGGGATACCAAAAGCACCGTAATGGGCATCAGTGCCTCCCAGCACTCGATGGGGGCAGCGATAACGGATTTGAGATTAAGTCCCAAGGACAGATCAGCAGAGAAACGCGGCGTCGAGTTTGCCTCTGGCCCCGACCCGGGAACATTCAGTTCCCACAGGGATTTATTATGGAAAAAGGGAGCAAGACTCCCACGCACCCTCGCCCTTCCCTGGGATACTGCCCCAGCCCCGTCAGATCCCGTAAACCATCCTGGCTGGCCCCCAAGCTGCTGCCTGTGGCACTGAGCTGGGCCGGATGCGGGATGGGAATGGCCCCTTTATCTCCCAGTGAAACCAGGGCAGAGGGGGAAGTGGGACACCAAGGGATGGAAGAGCTGCCTCTGCTGGGACTCCGATGCCAGGGGCTGGGACAGGCCACACCAAGCAGACAGTCCCTCTGTGCCTGCCCAGGGCTGGGAGCTGGCAGCTCTCTGGTGCTGGGCAGCAGAGATACCCACAGTGCCAGAGCCCCCTTCCCCTCCCGGCCCAGGGAGGGGGCACTACTGAGCTACTACCCAAGGTTCAGAACTCACCCAGTCCCACTCCTGATTTAATAAGCCACTTAAACACTCGCCCACATCACACAAAACATGAACTGAGGCCATGAGGCCGCTCAGCGTTCACCCCACAGCCCCAGCAGGCCAGGACAGGGGGAGGGATGGGCACCTCTTACACCTCTGCAGCCCCTGTCACATGTGCCTCAAAAGCAGTTACAGATAAGATCAGCAGAGACAGCAAACAAGGCCAGCAATAAAATCTGAGGGCAGCCCATTTGAGTTTCAGCTTGGTGTGGCTTTGCAAGTTAATGGAAAATTGGGCCTGCCCGCCCTGCTGCCTCTGGCTGTGTTTGCATTCACACACAAATTTTAACCTGGGTTTTGAGGACTTGCTCCAGCCCCCTTGTATTGTTTGTGCTGAGCAGATGAAGCCACCATCACCAAGGGCCAGTGTGCACCCACTTACCCGGGAAGCTGAGGACAGGCAGCCCGGCCTGCATCCCTCCTGGTGCTCCAGCAGAGCTGGTGCCATGGGGGCAGCCGGCCTGGCCAGCAGGGACACGGGCGAGGTGGTGAGGAAAAGCTGCTCCAGCACCTGGTGAACACCTGCTCCAAGGGGGACACCGGCTCCCTGGCACAACACACGCAGCAGCAGATCACGGCCGGGAGGAGCGGCTTTATTTTAGAACCTCGTTATTTCATCAGAAACGCTACTTTGCCCAAACCAGCACAAATCACAGTCTCTGAAGTGGGTCAGAGATGCTCTGGAAGAGGCAGGAGGGCTCCAGGACGCCGGGCGGAGAGCGAAGCGAGTGGTATGATGCAACCCTGGTGTAGTGAAATAGCCGGATTGTAGGATGCGCTTGTCGTCGGCCTGATTCACAACACCAGCTGCAGCAACAATACCAGGGCTGTGCGGTGCTGGGAGCTGTGGGCAGGGGAGCAGAGCTCTGTGGCACATCCCTCCAGCCCCTCTACACAGAGGGAAGAGATGCCAAGTTGTTTCTGCAGGGCTTTCCCTCACTTCCAGCCGATCCCCCAGTTCGTTCCGGCTTTAAATGCAGAGAATGGTGCAATGCTTTACACACAGCCCCTCCTAAAGATTGCCAAGGTGCTGTATTCCAGCAGGCTTTAATGAGGCTTTAACTGTCCTGTTTCCAGCCCCATGGCACAGGGAACCTACCAGCCAGAGTGACCCAGGACACACGAACGGTGCAGGGGCCAGTGCTGCAAACCCACCTCCAGAGCAGGACTCAGTTCCTCAGCACTGCAGCAAAGGAAGCCTGGGAAGAGAAAACAGAGGGTTATTCAGCCAATGCCGGCAGCCTTTCCTGATGGGAGCAAAGGGTGCATCTCCCATCCCTTCCAGACCCCACTCCCATCCTTCCAACCTCAGACCCAGAGAGAAAGCACATGAACAGTGGCAGTGTTTGAGTGCTGTCCCTCACCAGGGACACAGAACTGCAGTTAGCAATATCCCCCTCCTCCCTCCAGGCTGGAAGGGAAACAGCTTCCTTCCTTGAGAGGCTGGGGTCACTTTTTTGGAACACAATTCCTTCAGCTCCTGCCAGGAACAAGGTCCAAGCACTGCCTTAGACAAATGCAGCAGTGATAGCAGAGCAGAACAGAGAAATCACCTCATTTAGCAGGTCTACTCCAGCCAGAGGGTCTGAAAACACAACAAAACATCATATTGAGATGCAGACTCTGCACCCAGTGGGGAAATCCAAGGCAAGGCAGAGAGGCAGGAACGTAACCCACAGGCTATAAGCAGTACCCTGCTTACATAAAATACTTAAAAGAATTAATTTCGTTGTAAGGATTAAAAACCCCTCAAAGAAACAGTTGGTGAGACAGAACCCATGGACAGCAGCTCCCTGAGTGTTCAGGAGGCCCTGGAGGCACATTCCAGCAGTGTCACACTGGCTGTCTGGCCTTAGCTCAGTGTAGTTTGTTACCAGGTTAACCCTGGGTAGAGCTTTAACTGATGTTTCCCCAACTGACAGGTAAGTAGGGCAGAAGTTTACAGCACATCCCCTGTAAATCCAGACCACCCCACTCAGCCCCTCGTTCCTGGAAGGAGGTGCAGCCTGTAAAGCTGCAGGAGCTGCAGTGCTGACACCACAGCACCCGTGGATGTTCCAGAACCGAAGAGCCACGAAAACCAGGGAACACAGACCTGGAGACTGCTGCACCCACTCCAGGACAGGGTGCCACAGCTCTCACAGCAAACACCTTCTCACTGTTTCTTCCCATCTCCTCCAGCAACACAGGACTGAGCTGCATTTGCCTCAAACCAGTGAGTCACCCTTCAGATGCATCTCACCTACCTGGAAGGCCTTTAATGCCGAGGATTAGTCCCAGGGCAGGAAAAAGCAGATGGAATTATCCTGAATTTAATCTGCAGCATTCATCTGTACTTGTTTCTTGTATAAAGAGCAGAGCTCCACCGATTTAGAGGAGATTTGTCAGTTTATACTAAGAACGAATTTGGCTCAGATGAACATGCCCAGCTCTGCTGCAGACTGTGCACCACTCTGCTGTAAAGGCAGTGCTTGGTGACACCACCCTTGAACAGGCTGTACCTGTTTAGGTAGGTGTGAGTTTAGTGACACCCCAAAAACCCCTTCCAGCAGATAAACTATTTAGAAAACCAAGGCTAAGATTGTATGTTAGCAAAATCGATGGTACAAAACCTGAGGGAGTAGAAGCCAGTTTTTCTCTCCAGCAGAATAAGCAGGAGGTGGAGGGAAAGCAGGGACATCTGGAGAACCATGAGGGTGCCTTATTCAGCAAAGCACCAGTACGTGCATCAGCATCCACCTCAGAGCAGCAAAGCCCTGAAAGTCGTGCAGAGGAGAGCTGGGTTTGCCAGAGCCAGGCCCAGGCACGGAGCTGGAACCTGCCCCTCTGGGGAATGTGGGAAGAGGGATGGGCTGCAACGTTCACCACCTGCACAGACCTAAGAAGAAATCACAGGGCAATCAACAAGTAATAAATCAATTCCAAATATCTGTGGCCTCTTCTGTAATACCCACAACCCTGACTGAAACAGGGCCAGTCTTACCTTGCCAGGGTTAGTCTCAGGACTCAGACTCCCTGGGGTTTATTTCCTCTGTCTGTCCATCACAGAAGGATCATCTTGGGTTTTGAAAAGCAGGAAATAATTCAGTTTCTGATTAGCTTAAAAGGGACCAGAGGCTAGAGTCATGATCAGAGGGAGCAAACACGACTGCCCTGCTGAGCAGGGCGTGGGCAAGAGACAGGAAAACAAAGCCCTGCAAATGGCACTGTCAGGAGCTGAACCCAAAGGACTGCTGTGCCCACAGAAGAGCGGAGCAGGGACAGGGAATTCCAGCAGGGAAGGTGGCCTTCACCCTTCCCGACTCCAGTAGATGCTGTCCCTCCCCTGCTCGGGTCAGTGGTTGCCCCAGGACAGGAAAGACTCGCCAGACTCTCTGTACATGAGCTGGTTTGGTGCTGGGAGTGACCCAGGGACAGGGGTTGAACTCCAGCCAGGAAAACACAGCAGAGTCATCCTGCAGGACCCTGTGAGGGGCAGCCCTGGCCCCCCCAGGAATGCCCACAAGCACCAGGGATGGTGCCTGTTGTCTCGGGGACTGGATCAACTGTCAAGCGAGGCATGCCAGGAACCATTCCCACACAAACATGCTACAGATGTTAACAGCTAATACAGCTTTCCACACTCACCTGCTGACAGGTTCTTAGGCAGTTCCACCTCCCAGCCCCAAGTAACTCCCTGGTAACTCACCACCTCCCCTGTACTCGCAGGGTGTTGTCCAGGTCTGCCTCAGCCTCTGGTTGGGACAATCCTGGCCATGCTGCAGGAGCTCTCCGTGCTGACACCGTCCCTGGCTCTGTCTGCTGGGAGTCCCAGCAGCTGCTTTGCTAATGCTGAGAGACATGGCTGGCTTCCTGTCCAAAGGGGGGACAAAATTTATGCTACAACATTTCTGGCAGGAAAAGGAATTAGGAAATTGTCATCAAGTCAGTCAGATACTCCTCTATCCCAGGCAACTCAGACACTGCAGAATGGGGATGAATTCTCTCCCATGACAGCTATTAACATACCAAGGCTGAAACCAGCCCCTACATTTTGCTGCCTGTTCTGCATCCCAGACTCCACATGTTCCATATCCCCTAACAAGAGGGTGAGACAGCAGCAGGGGAGCAGCAAGAGTAACCACCAATATTTCTCACGGTTCATTCCAAAGACAGGCAGCTACATTGAAAAAGAAAAGCTTCTCCTACACAGTTATTTAATTGCAGCTTAAAACATTTAAAGGCAACCATTTTTAAAGCCCCACACTTCAGTGGGACTCAGGTTTCCCACTAATCCAACAGTAATATCACACCCCCACTTGGACTCTTCTCCAGGTGAACTCTGTAGGGGACCACTTGGAATGCACCTGACTGAGAACTCACGAGCTGCTCACAAAAACCTCTCCTACCAAAATGTACCTGTTTCCAGCCCAGGTGCTCCTGCAGAGCTCCAGCAGAGCTCCAGGGCGTGCAGAGCTGAGCCCACCCGAGACACCGAGCCGGGTGGAGCCGAGGAGCCCCCGCGGCACATGGAGCTCACCTGCCCTGCAGCGACACAGGCACCAACGAGACAGGGTGATGGACTGATGGCAGCGTCACGGGGTGGGGGGTGCACCATCGACACATTTTCAACACTTAACATGCATTCAAAACCCACAAAAACCCCTGAAGGTTCCCAGCTGCACATTCATTAAAGCATTAAAGCAAAGTTCTCTTCTGTTATAGAACTGCTCACTCATTCACCCCACTGCTGCAGAGCTATGACTTCTCCCTCTGCACAGCCCCTTAGCTGATTAAGAACAAATTTCTAAATAGAAAACCAACTGAAAACTAAATTAATAAAAACATAAAAAACACAAGAACCAGTGAAAATGAAAATGTCAAAAACAAATATCAAAACCAAAGAAATTTATTTCCATCAACAAAAATACAGAATACAAAATGACACTGGTCCCACGGGCCCTCTGAACGCACTAAGGACAGGCAGGGGCTGCTGCAGCCCCGAGCCAGAGCTGCTCTAATTCATAAGGATCTCCATTTGCACCAGTCTGGCGTTGGTGTCTCCCGACGTTCTGTACGGGATCATCCCAGCAAACATGATCAGAGCACGGGCCTGGGACTGAAGTTGCTACAAGACAGAAAGACAAAGTGCAGTTACTTTAGTATCACAAAACCCACGGGAGGTAAACACTTGCCTCTTGACACCAGCCAAGGTAATCTTTGGTTCTCAGAGCTGCTCTCTGGTTAAAGAGTCTCTGCAGTTGGAAGGAAATCAAAATATTTCCTTTTCCGACCATTAAAAGCACGTTGAGTTACCCTTTTGCTTAAAAAAAATCCCATTTATTTGAAATTACCTAAGAAAAACCATTGTCAGCAATGTGGGGTGTTGCTGCTCTGCAGCAATCTTGTAATTTCTGCACAAAGTGAGCTTTCCCAGGGCAACAGGATTCTTCCCCACCTTGCAAAATGCAAAGTTGATCCTGCTGAAATGCAGCATTAATGTTGTCAAAGCAGAATTGAACTAGAAATGAACAGGTAGTGCCACACACACCTGGAGATCTCCAGCATCACCTACAACATACCAGTCTCCTCAAGTACACAGAGCCCTTCCCCTAAAGGAACCAACCCCCTTCTTGCACACCACAAGGCTGTGTAACAGCTGGGGGAGCTCTGGAATAGTTTGTTTCATTTGTAAATTAAAAGGAAAATCACTGCAATAGCTGGTAGAAGTCAGAAGAAGACAGAAAGCCCAAATCTTTATGGAAAACTACTTGGACTGCTTTGATTTAATAGCAGGGTTTTCTTCTTGAATATTAAACATCTCAAAATTACTGTCCTAGAAGATCCACTGTTCAAATCTTCCTTTCCCCTACTGACTGCAGGGAAAGCTGAAGGTGCTCAGGTTGCTGTGGGCATGTGGATGGTAACTCTGGCAGCAGGAACTGACACCATCCCTGAGGCCCCTCTGGCCAATTCCACCCCGTTTTCAGAGCCAGTCTGTTATTCAGTGGCCACAGAGAAGCTCTGGAGGCTGATACTGGAAAAGCTGGGAGTTTTCCCAAGACTGACCCAATTGCTAAAATGTCCTGGGACAGTTTCCCTCCCTGCACTGGCTCCTTAACAAGGGGGCCTGGAAATCACTTCCAGTTCCAGTCACAGTCGTATTTCCCCGAGTCTGCTTCCAAATGTGTTACACAGTGGGGTTGTACCATTCTGCCTGAGCTGCTGCTTTTCAGAGGAGGTCGAAAGAGGTGGGAGATGGAAAAAAAAGCATGTCAAGGTGTCTGACTCTTTGGAATTAATCAAGAAACAAGAGCTCTCACGGTGACTAAGAAAGGCTGAGGAGCAGTGCAGGTTACTGTTCCCTTACCTCTACAGAAGCAGTGATAGCTGGCCTGGTTTTGACAATCAAACCAATACTTTGGGAAGAATGAACAGAGGTTTGCAGAGGTTAAGAGCGGCCTGGAGGTCTAGATGTTCTATTGGCTGTAATTACTTAACAAATGTTAGAGTTACTTGCAATTTTAAATAAGACCACAGATAATAAAGAAATAGAATTCCATTCCGTTCCTGACCTAATTTTGGCACCGAGATAACGCCCTTGGGCTGCTCCAGAGAGTTCACCCTGGCTCTCCCAGAGGAAAAATCTGCTTTCCCAGAGGAAATGGAAAAGCTGTCCTTCCTCCAGGGAAGTTCAGAAGACACATTCTTGTCAAGCACAGCATGCTGAAGCTCGTGTCTGGGATCTCTGCTCAGGTGAACGAGATTTTGCTGAGGAAACACCTCTCTCCTCACGTTTGGAATGCCCTCATTTCTTCCCACCACTACAATCGCCTGAGCTGCTTCCCAGCCATGGAAACTGAAGCCGAGTCCCTGCTCCTGCAGTCCTGAAGGAAATGCTTGAGGGTAAAAGGAAAGGGGAACACGAGCTAAAGCTGTTCTTGCCCTCCCTTCCACGAGCCCATGCCTGGTATTTTTCTGCACAGGCCAGTCTCGAGGCAGACGGCAGCTACAGGGCGAGAGGGTTTTTCTCCCGCTAATCCCACATGAGCAGATTATGCTCCCTTGTGACACTACAGTCACACAGCTGCTCTCTTATCCCCTCCCTGACAGCAGAGGCAGCGGGCACTTGTTCCCTCTGATGGCTGAGCACAGCCTGTGCTGCACATGGCTCTGTGACGCAGAACCCCCGTGTCCCCACCATCACTCACACCCTGCTGCCAGGAGATCCCACCACAAGGCCAGAAGCTTGATTAACAAAACTTGAAGCCTGAAAAGATGAAAACTTTCAAGGGTTTTTAGCAAGGTACATGGTCAGCTGATCTCCACAACTGCGACAGCAGGGGGGTGCAGAGCATGTTTGTGAAGCAGAGCTCACACCGTGTTGATACCACGCGATGTCTGGGGCTCCTTCCACACCAACCTCTGCCAGCAGAGCTGCTAAACCCATCCCCAGTTCGGCCAGCAACACTCATACTGAGGTGACACCTGACAGCACTGCACCCCTATGGGGATGGTAAATGCTTCTGCATGAGGCTCAAGACTGAAATCAAACCCAAAACAAACAGCTCACTTGGAAAGCCAGGCACTAAGGCTGGTTGCTCAGTGCCAACCTTGTGAAGACACAGAGCAGGTAACAGTGTGTTAGCCTGGGACTTCACATGTGTAGAATTTAAGGTGGGAGGAGCCCAAGCAGCATGCATCCCTCTCCAATCTGCAGTACAAGTGCTGCCAATCCAGAGTACAAGCACTGCTGTAAGGCAGGATCCTGCAGCTCTCACAGGCTGTACCCCAAAATCAAAGATGTATCATTACTCACACCTTTCATTTTTTTATGCAACTTAAAAATGCTACTAAGACCTTTAGCAATATTGTCAATTTACAGATCAAAGGCACTTTTGCAGCTGACTAAAGCCTGGAATAGAGTTGGCTGTGCCCCAAGTTGGTTTTCACTCTCAAAAGGAGTGGATATTTATTTTCTAATCTGTTAAGACAGGATGAATGGTTTGGCCTTGGTTTCCAAGTGCCTGTAGCAGCTTTAGATTAGTAAGAGTTACAAGACCAAACCTGACAACAGTTCAGCTGAGAACCCCTCTGCTCAACCCTGCACGCTGACAGGCGAGTGCCCTCAAATGTGGCTGTGCCCTTTAAACGATGCCTGGTCTGCAGCTTGCTGAAGGTGAAGGCTCCCATCAGTGGGCTGGGGAAATGCTTCTGCACCAGCTGGAGCCCTCAGGTCAAATCCACTGTTGCCACAATTTCAGCAGGCAGCCAGACCAGGCAGTGCTGCCCACTCGCTGCAGAACAACACCAGCACACTGCTGATGGCACATCCACCCCTGGATGCACTGGAGATCTTGGTGCATCCCCCGAGGACCTCTGGAGAACATCAGTCCATGTCACTACAGGGGCAAGCCAGGGAGAGGAGTCAAGGAAGGCCTTTCCACCAGAAATGGCACCTACTCAAATGAAAGGAATGGAAATCAGGTGCTTGAAAGCAACAGCTCGGTTGTCACGGCAGCAACACCAACCAACCTAGAGACACTACACTGTCCCCATCTGTTTTCCTATTTAAGATCCCACCAAGAAACAACTTGCTTGCTCTTGCTAGGGAATATATAGGTGTAATACCCCCATCAGCTCAATGCCATTTAGAGCAGTATCACAGACTCCAAAGGGTTTGGCCTGAAAGGGACCTTAAAGACCATTCCATCCTCTCTCTGCACAGAGCTGAAGGTATCAGACACCAGCCTTGAGATTAAGTACCTGAGCAAGCTCAGTAGTAACTGAGTAGTAACTCTGAGCAAGTCAAAAGCAAAGACCATTAGAGGTTCAGAGTTCTGTGAGGCCCAGACTCTTACAAGCAGGGGAACAGGATGTAGGAAAACTCTCCAGACAGTGAGGGTTACACTCTTACCGAATCTCTGTCTTCCATTACCCGCTGAGGTCTGGCAGGAGTGGTTGGGCTTGTGCCTTTCATCCTCTTATACTTGGTGAATAAAATATTCATGGTTGCAAGCAGGACCTCCGATAAATTGTGCTTGATCTACACAAAGAAGGTGGAAAAAAAGACACACTGCAGTGAAGAGCATGTTGACAGAGCCATTACCCTTGCTCTGCAGAATCAGAAAGCCAAACAGTGACAGCTGTGGTTGACATTTACTCCTGTAACAGTCATACATGTAATGGTTACCCTGCTGTGATTGCACCATCCAGCAAAAACACTGCCCAGAGCTTTGGGACAGACACCTTCCTGTCTGACAGCAACAGGTCAGACAAAACCCCAAGTGCCTGAATACAAAGAACTCTAAAGCACCCAAATACACACAAACACTGCTTAAAGGAGAAGTGTCATCCTCCATTTAAAACAGTTCAAGAGCAGTAACAGCCTTCCACTGTGCTTCATCTGCTAATACACAAATCCATGAGATCCTGTGATTTAGAGGGAAGTGAACAAACACCCTGCAAATGCTTGGTGACCATTATGAGCGTGGGAGAACTAAGTCACCAGCAAGTTAAAAGTTTTCAGTATTTTGAATTCTTGGATCAAACTCAGTAAGTTCAAGGAGACTCAGGCAGACACCTTCTTCAAAATGGAGACAGGATTTCTGGGTAGGGAATTCTAGCACTTGCAAGAGCAGCACTGAGCAGAAAGTTGTAAGCCACGAATCCACTTGTGCGAATTCAGAATAATCTCACCCCATTTCCCCGCTATAGAATAAGGATGATGAGATGACAAGGTCTTAAGATCCTTCTAACAAAGCAAAAGGCTTCTGAAAGCTTAGCCCAAGACAGCACTTACTTCATCGCTGAAATTCCGGAAGGCAGCAACTCTCTCCTTGACGCAGTCCTGGTTAAGAGGTACGAGCTTCAGGCGCTCAATAATCTTCAAAAAGAAAAGCAGGAATCAGGGGAGATAATCAGTGTTCTGTGTACCATAGACTAATACAGTGTGGGCTTGAGGTGCTAATGAAATCCTCCTGGTTTCATTCAAGAGAAATAATTTCATTGTTATTTATTGGTTTATCTCCCCCCTTTGTTGAGCAGCAGGAATATTTTGTTCACTGTCTATAAAATGGCCCCAGAAAGATCTTCCTGTTTATCAAGCAACAGGGAAGAAACACCTTTTTAAATTCCTGTAGCGTTGCAACCCCTTCTAACTCATTAAATGTAATTTTTTTAAGTGATGTTATTTGAGACATTCTGGGCTTTCAAGGGCATTAGGAAGGCTACACTTCAAACAGAACTCTTAAAACTTACATCAAAGGCCCTGTCAACGTGACCAGCGTGATATTCATCAAAAAATGTGATTAAGTCTAGCAGAAGGTAGAACGTGGAGTCAATGGATTTCTTTGCACTTATCCCCTGCGCTTTGTACCTGCAAGAAATTGTTTCACAGTTTTATTGTGCAAAATGGCAACCGTTTATAACTGTGCTCCTGCAATTCCTGGAAGCAGAGACATCAAGCACGAGGACAGAAGGCATTTAACAAAGGACAGCTTTCACTCTCCTTAACGAGGAGGCAGAATTTTCACAGGTTGTGGCTTTTTTAAAAATACTTCTAATCACTTCCAGTTTTGCATCAAATCCAACATTTTGTTTCCTTTTAAATGTTTACACTTCCCACATTCATGGGGAAACAGTGCCAGGCAGCAGAGACCTGCAAGGCAAGCTCTGCACAAGCATGTTTCACATGCTGTTTTACAGCAGACAATCCTCCAGCACCACTCCCTGCTTCAGGCAAGAAGTTAAGACTCAAAGATGGATTAAATGCTGCGCGCTCTCTCCAGCGACTCTGGCTGGGGGATGAACTGGAGGGCTGCCTGCTCTCACTGCTGCCTGCACGAGGTCACAGAGCTGCTCCTTCCTCAAGGTTTAACAGTAAGAGTGGTGCTGCAGAGCAGGAAGACAAATAAACCTCCTGGCCTTTCCTGCTGGGTGTCTCCCCCATTCCAAAAGCATCACAAGAACGCACAGGAGGAACGCTGCATCACTGCAGCACCATCTGCAGAAGGTACACGAGGAAAAGCCCTGTCTGACACTGAGCTGGCAAGAAGATGCTCTAATCAGAACAGTTCAGTCACCCAGGTTTGCAGCTGGGAAGTGGCATTATTGCACAGTAATATTTAGTGCTTTCAAACAGATCACAGCAAGCAGCAAACCAAAGCCCATCACAGCCTCTGCTGAAGCTTTAGCTCAAGCCATAGGTTTAATTCTCTTTAATGTCTGCCACCAAATCAGCCTCTCACTAAGTCAATACTGCACCAATTTTCACTCAGTCTCAGTCTGGCTAAATGAGGGAAAGGTTGACTAGAAGGAGTGACTGGCAAATGGCACTTGTCAAAACAAGAAAAGGAAAGGTCTCTGATGGAAATCAATACATGTCTCTATTTGTCTTCCAATTTCAAATGCCAGCAAGTGGGGTTGGCTTATTTTTATTCTCTCTGCAGCTGAAGGGTTGAGGAAAACCAGCGAGACGTTTCTCACAGGTACCCACATTTTGCTCTAGTAAAATACAGGAATTTTCCATGGCAGCCACTGTGACAAGACACACCAAAAGAGGACAATTTTTAAGAAATCACAGTTATTTTGCAATTACAGCCTTTCAGAATCAGGCTATTCCCAACTTTCAGCTGCTAATGCATCTTGAGCACTGATGTCTCTCAAACATGTACCCTTATTAGCACACAGACATTGCAGGGGACGTTCCTTTTGGTCACTTCCATTTCTCTCCCTTTCCTGAATACCACTCAGCACTTGGCTCATGTCACAGGCTGTGGCAACAAGGTCCACTGCTTACATTAGCCACGTACACACCTCAGCTTAAACGTTCCCTTTTCAGCTTTCCTTAAAGCAGCAGTGAAATAAGGTTTTCAGACAGCTACTGAACTCTCTACATTGCTGTTACAACTCAGAATTACTGGGTTTGTAGCTCTCTCTTAATACTATTTCAAACAAGTGAATCGTGTGCAGTGACTCTGCAACTGTCATGATATTTTGCTTTAAAAATAATATAAAAACCAGTTCATGATATTTATTGCTCCTTAACAGACCCTGTCTCTGGCTGGCAATCCTGATTCACCTACAGACAAAGCTTCTTGCCAAATTTACCTGACCTGCCCCAGAAGGTTTCTTTTCTGGTTTCAGTACTGCAAGCCACCACGAGCAGGACAGGGTAAATTCTAACCTCTTCTCTGTCTTTCTAAATATATTGCTGTGGATGCCACAGTCCAGCCTGCAGAAACAACACCAGAACTAATCCCCCCTGCACCGAGAGCCGGGTCAGGTGGAGGTGAGGCCCCCAGCCCTGCCTCAGCCAGGTCTCACCTCTCAGCAATGGAATGGGCCATGTTCTTCAGCCGCTCCTTGTTCGACTGGGGAGTGCTCATCTGGGGAACAACTGGGCTCAGGAGCTTGTTCATCAGCTCTAAAACCTTGTCAGGGTTCTGTTGGTATTAAAGTTACACACAGATAAATGGAGCACGATGGCACTTGGTGTTTTAATCTCACTGAAAAGGCAGAAGGTGCTCAGTGCAAGCTCAGAGGCACTTCCCTCCCACAGAGACAAGGCCAGAGAAGCTACAAGCAACATAATGCTGCTGACTCATGTGAAAAAAGCATTTTCCCCTAGTTTTCTCTAAAATAGGTCTATGGTTGTGTCCACTTTTATTTCAAATGTATTTCAGAAGGAAACAAGAGTACTCACTATAAAGCCCAACTATTTTAGACTTCAGTTCAACATCTGTGCAATTGGAAGAGTACACTCCAGGTAAATAACTTCACTAGACAGAATAAAATCATGCAGGAGGCAATCACTTCAGAAGATTACATTGATCAAGAACCAGAATGTCCTAAATCAGAATCCCCCCAGTGCAATCCATCTGGGTTTGCTCACCAAACCCCCTCTCTATGCAGCAATGGCTCTGCTCTAACAGCAGCACGAATAAGCTGCTTGAATAAGGGCAATTCAATCTCTGAGATGAAATTTAACCTCCTAATCACAGAGAGAATGTTTGGAAAGAGAAACAGTGAAGCAGGTACATACTTGAGGCAGCACAGAGGAGATATTTACCTTTGCAAGGTCATAGAGTTTTGCAGCTTCTTCAAACAATCCTTTATTTTCTGCTGCAGAAGCCACTTTGTTAATAACGGATTTTGTGTCACTTGTAAACTTGTCTATCACTCCAGGCTAAAGAAGTGAGACAAAAATGAAAGGAGAGAAAAGAGATATCAGGATGCTTAAATACTCCTGAATATTCTATCAAGGCAATGAATATTTTATGTGTTGCCTTATGAGTAGAATGGCCTGTACATTTCCATGGGAAAGTGCAAAAGTGAGACATTAAAATCAGAATGAGCTCTTGCAAGAGAGACTTTCTCCAAAACAGACTCAGCACTGAGACATCCTTGGTTTTTATTTCACTCAGAGTGACCCAGATAAAATAATTCAGAGTTTGAGCTGTTAATTGCTGATGACACATTACAGGGGAGAAGAAAACACAAAAGACTTCAGCATATAACATGCCAGGGGCTCCAGGGATGCTGTTTGTTTATACTGTCATGACAGGCTGCAAGTGAAATCTTACACAGTTAAAAGAAAGAGCAATAGGAATTTTAAAACAAATAATAAATATATAGAATAAAAGACAGGAAAGAGTCAAGAATATCTGGAAATTATTTTACTGTAGTTGAGCATCGCAAAAAAAGGCTAGATCATCTAGAATGATTTATTTTAATCTTAAGATTGCTGGTTTCACACCAAAGAAAGTATAAAATATTTGTAAACATTATCAAGTTACCTTGCTCTCTTGTGTGTAATCTTACCTCTTTTGAACTGACAAAACAAAGACATCTAAAAGGAAATCCTGTCAGAAGTAACTTTCCCCTGTTTTTTTGACATCAGCACGAGCCCTCATGTTAAGAAATGATCTGCAGTCTGCTTTACACAGAAAGCTTCCAAAGTTGCCACAGCAAACAGAAAAATTTCATTAATTATCTAAAGTTTTCATAATTTGTGTGCACTCTTCTCTTTCCTTCTGCAAGAGGATCTCATACTGGGAGAACCTGAATTTATTCAACCACAGCTAGTGAAAAACACAGAAAAGGGAGACAGCCTTATGACTGCTTTGGAAATCACACATGCTTTGTGCTTTTATGTAAAATATAAACATAAACTGTTAACTCACCTTCCTACTGCCATCTTTTTCCAGCTTTCCAAGAATCATATCAAACTATATCCACGCAGATGTAAAGTAAGAGAAAAGGAAACAAAAACAGAGAGATAAATTGCATGTATTTCACAACATATTTACTAAATACAAAGATGAAGCCGTGGATGAACAAAAAACAGTGACCGATGTCAAAAGCATTTGTAACTAAAAAACAGGCAAAGGACATGATCAGATATGTTAAATGTATGGTCACTGCAAGACCTTCCAACATCTAGGTCTGCAGCAGGCAGAAAGGGGAAACAACTGTGAAGACTGTCCTGTCTAATAAAGGCTTAAATGGAGAAAGGCTTTCAGTTTAACTGAGGAAGGCAGAACATGGCCCCACGTACCTCCCTGCTTTCAATCACTATTTCACTAACACAGCGCAGGAACATGTTCTCTCCTTGGCTGTCCTTCTCGTTTCTGCAAAAGAAACACAAGGAGGAAGGCACTGCTGTTTCTGGCAGCTTTCCAGATAAGGAAAAATGAAGCAGTAATAACCAGGAGAAAAGCTAGACACATATATTAGCTCCTACCTGAGAAAGTAAAAATACTGCAGGGCTTCCCTTGGATCTGTTGATTCAAACTTACGGGTGTAAAGCATCAGCAGCCGTGCAAAGTTCAGGCGTCTGACACCAGGAGGGTCCCCGGCTTCATGGCTTACTGCAGTGTCAGAAACAACACTGTCAGAGAATCTACTGCCAGGAAAACTGATCTTCATCTGAAACCGGTCAGAACCACGATCCAGAGCTCGAATGTGACTAAAACAATGAACTTTTATGAGACTGTTCTGATAAACGCTCCTTGTTTGATCAATCACATAGACCTGCAGTGCCTACAGGGTACTCTGAGGGCTCAGAAACCATTCCTTTATCGTAAAGGAAGTGGGACTTACACAGCTGTGCACTCTGGCCAGAAGATTTCAGGAGCAGTTTTAACTCAAACAGGACCAGAGCAACGTGAACAGCGTGACAGCGCAAGCGCTCCGTGCGGAAGAGGAAAGCGATCGCAGCCTCAAACTGGGCTGTCAGGAACAACACTTGGAAGTAGAGGAAAGGCGGCTGGTTCACTGCAAAATGGGATTCACCTGAAAGAAACCAAAATATGGAGCGTTTTCACATCATTTTCACGACTGTGCAATCAGAGGTTACTCTAAAAACTTTCTGAGGTGTAAGGAACTGTGAGTTGGATCCCCAGAAAATTACTTGAAATAATAATTTAAAGGAAACAATGAACATCAGATGCACACAGAGAAAAGGCTTGGAAAGACATGCCCACATTAGGTAGTGATTGCTTTTCTGTTCTGAATTCCAAAAGCTGGAAGTTCTGCTAAAGACTTTGGCACATTTATGTGAAAGAAAGCAATCTGCAATTAAGTACAGACAAAGGAGAAACAGCAGCACTATTGTTCACAGATGAATATTTACTCTCTGGATTGCTGGGAACACACCAGACTTATTCATCATGTCTTACTGAAGTCTGCCATTATTCCAGGGAAGCAGGCTGTCCATGGACACCCTGAAGATGCCTGTGAGGTGTGGAGAGCTGCAGGGGTTTGTGTAATAACGACTGGAAAGTGTCCTAAGCAGAAAAGCAGAAGTCCCACATTGCTCTGTGGTTCCTCACCATAGTCTTCCAGCAGCTGCTTCTGGAACTGTGATAACGTTAGTCGGTCTTGTGGGGAGCTCGCACCACCATCATCAAAACACACCTGGTTCAGCTAAAAAACACACCCAAAAAAAGAGCACAGTTATTTCCCCCTGCACTCAGAAGATATTCATTCCATCTGAAGCCCCTCCTAGGATTTGACCAACTGACTAGAAACTACTTCTAGTCACAATATCCACTGCTGGGAAGCAAAGATCCCTAATGCAGCAACGGCAGAAATCCATGCAGATGTAACCTGGGGGTTCTGTGTCTCTCCATGCCATCAAACTTCAGTGCTAGGACTCTGAATACTGTCTAAGCAATAACTAAAAGCAGCCCTCTGTAGTCAACCAGTATCTGTCATGCCCCCACCAAAGCTGCAAGGACTTCAGAGACATTGGCAGTGTTGTCTTTGGTCAATCGACATGGACATTTCAGACATCATCCATCCAGGAAGGAGAACTCAAAGAATCCTCACTGTAGCAAGCTGGTGAAAACAGCTGACAAAGATCAGTGTCAAATGAAGGACATGGCACTTCCAAAGCCAAGTGTGCCCAAACTGACACCTGACAGTGCAGAGGGTATCAGAGCAGCCCTGGAACTCACGTTCCCAGCCCTTTGCTCTCTTCAAGTCACGTGCATTCCACTGATGCAAAACACCCAGGAGCAGGTTTTCCCTACCCTAGAAGTGAGGAGGGTAGCAGAGCAGTGCAGAAATGGCAGTACCATTTAAAACTGTTCTTTAAAAAAATAAATAAATAAATATCCAAACACCACCACCACAACAACAGTATCACACTTACTTTTAGCCAAAGATAATCTTCTGTTTTATCAGCAATTTCACTCTGGTTGTCTGTAACGTCACAGCGGCCAATGATACAATAAACAGCCCTTTTGTACGGGTCAGTGTTGTTTCTCAGGGCTCGTCTGTAATGAAGACGCAGTTTATTTTCTGTGGTAGGAGATAGTCTGAGGAAAAAAAAAGATTGAAGGAAAAGACATGAAACCCATTTTCCCTGTATAAGGAACCTAGATATAAATCACTGTAAATAGCTGTGTATTCACAGCAAAGGTATAACGACAGTGAGCCCTGGCCGGTATTTCTTGCATTTTCTATTTACATTTGTAGGTCAAAACTTCTCACACATGAATTTAAACACATAATTTAAGTTATGGAGGATTGTCTTCAAATACCCATTGCAGGAAAAAAAAAGTAACCATATGACAGGGTCTTTAGGGGAACATTATTACTGTGGTAGACGAGCTATTTCATAATTTCAGAAAAAGAGAGCTCGCAAAGTCTTTGGAACTCTTTGGGTTAGTAACTAACAAGTGAGCAGGTCACTGTGCCATGAAATCTTTTAGGAGGGATACTTTCATCTTTGTTATTAACTACTGTCATAATGTTCTTTGTCATTCTTTTTCTTGTACCCTCTTACAGTGAATATTACAGAACTGAGCAGTGAAGTGTTTTAGACAAAGACATTGTTTGTCAAATCTGTAGGCAGAGCACCTTTCCACAGCTGTAATAAAAACAAAATAAATCAATTATACTCTACCTCATTAACGTGTTTGCAATGAAAACAATGACAGTACCTTCACTAAAGTTTCTGGAACAATCCTGATATAATGAGCACTCTAGATACTCTACAAAACAGGCTAATTTACTGAAAAGTATCATGGTATGCAGTACTCAATAAATGTCATTGGGACCCTTTTTCTTTCAGTTTGTTTTGTTAGCTTGCAACTGTTTGCAAGCACACCAGAAGCAGTTTGGCCAGTGGCTTCTGCCCAGTGATGGACAACACAAACTGGAAAAGGAGAATAAGCACAAGAAAGATGTGGGTGTGAGAGCCTCCAAAGGCCTAACAAACACTGCTTGCTTTTCCTGCACGGCATTCCTGTGAAAACACGGGCAGCAAAAAGTGTCCCCCAGAGGAAATTCAGCCAGAATAAGCAATGGGGGGGGAAATAAAAAGAAACAGGATTTGTGACAGCAGATTGAATCTGATCCATTGTATGTAGCACCCCACAGTTACACAGGGCATGCCCTTCTGTAAAAAGGCAAAGCTACACCACACCGTATTATTTCTGAAATGTAAATTTTTGCATATTTTTCAAACAACTCTTTCTCTATTGAGATTTTCAGACTTCAAAGCCACAAATCAAAATATGCAAACTTCTTGTATGTAATTTAGGTAGGTAATACAAACAAACACCAGGCAGCCATCACCATCAGAAGAGACCTGAGCTTCTTGTATTTCTACCAAGCCACTGATTAATTCACTGCTCCACAGCAATTCCAACTCCTCACAAAGATCTTTCCTCATTACCTTCTGTCTTTACTGTGCATGTACTCCTGGAACCAGGTTTTGAACTCTCCCAGCTGGTGCTGTGCCCGTTTCACCACGTGCATGGCTGCAGTCAGATCTCCACAGCGCATGCAGTAGTAAATCAGTGCCCACACAGGGTGCCCCTCCACCTCACCATCCTGAAAAGAAAGTAGGAGATACTTCACTTGTTAAATTATTCTTTGCCTCATTCATGATTTCTGCCTTCATACCCACACTCTAATTTTGGTAATAAGTTCTGTTTGTGTTACAGAAGCTAGAGATTATATTAATGGTTAAGTCAAGTCCTGTGAAAGCTCTGTGTGAAGAGTGTGACTCTTCTTTGCTTGCCTGGACTTCAGTTCTGAGTGGGGTTCTGACAATCCCAGAACTAGCAGATGATATTTTACCCACCCAGGAGGTGGATTTGTATCAGACCTGATACATTAAAACACTAACTTTAAAATTAAAAACATTTTTACTGAAACAAAGATACCAAGCTAATCACAGATCTCAGCAGGCAAGAAAAAGACAGCAAGACTTAGTTGTGTGCTCTCCAATGTTATAATTTAGTATTTCTTCATTTAACTCTTAAATTTAATTTTTCACTGCAGCCTGCCTATCTGCTAATTTTGTAGATGCACAGCTATGCACTTTCTACTATACACAGGTAAGCAGGGTTTTATTCAGATTCCTAAATGAAAGGCTTGGGCTACAATTCAGATGAACTCAATACACATTTGGTCATCAAAAACTGGTGTCATCATCTTACAATAAGTGTGAAAAAAGAGAAAAAGTAAACCAGGGAGATTAAGCTGCTGCTTTTTTGAAGCCTATTTTAATACTTCTGGGGTGATCTTCTGCCACCCAAAGAGACCATGATTTCTAGAATTTAGAACTCGAACTACTGAGCACCGTGTTTCGGGACTAGCTCTGAATTCAGAGTGATTTTGGTTGCTATCTTCCATTTTCCTAATGAAAAATTCCGGAGAAGGAATAAGAGTCTGCTACGCTAAAAGCAGCTCAAACAACAGAAAAGCCACAGAGGCTGCAGTGGTTTCCCGTCTGTGCTGGAGCAGTCACATTTGTGTTATGTTTTAGCTCGGTCGCTGTAAGTGCTGGACAAACCTGGAGCCCCGGGACAGCCGCGGGCAGTTTGATGTTCAGGAAGCTGCGCACCAGCTGGTAGGTCCCCGGCACCCCACCCAGCTGAGCCTGGTGCAGGTTCCCAAAGACCGTCGCAAAGGTGTAGTTCTTGTAGCTGAAAAACAACACAAGCAAACCAAACACGGACAGACTGAGATACACCCTGCTGCAAAAACATCCAGCGCCTTGCAGATCTGACACAATCAGCAATTTACAGCGAATTACCTCCATGTTCAAACATTATCATTACAACAGAATGAGGCAAACATTTCTGTCCGTTTAGGAAGATGCTGGTATTCAGCAGTCTCAGGAGACACCACGTTTGGGGGCTGTGCACTGCTCCTGCTTCAACTTCCTATTATGAAGTTCCTCTTATTAGGTTTTCATAGTACTAAGTTCAGCTCAACTGTGTAAGTGGCACAAAGCCTTTCCATCCTAATGCTTGAACTCTCAACCCTGTCACTAAAGAACAGTTAAACACCACAGATGTGTTTGTCTCTCTTCCCCGCCCTATGAAAAAACACCATCCTTGGGGCTATGGACTTGCCAGAAGGAAATCCCAGAGAAAAAGAGACTTCAGAGAAATACAACCAGTAAAAGCAGCATTAAGAACACCCTTTAAATAACCTATCAAAGCATTTAATCAAGGCAGATCAATTTAACAAGTACTCATGTTTGGAAGCAGCAGCCTCAAAAATCTGTCCCCTAATGGAAGACCTATGCAAGCAGCAGCAATAATTGCCATGAAGTTCTTTCTTTCTCTGCAGCATACAATAGACTATCAAACTGAAAGGCTATGCTAAACACTGGTAAATATCAGAATATCTTGATAACTAGCATTGTGGAATGCTAGTTATCTAACTCAAGGAAATCAGGCCCCCACGATACTTGCTGACACACAGCAAGCCACTTCCAACAGCCTGAAAAATCACTGCTACACCTCTCAGCTTGAGCCTCTTCCCATTTTCCAAAAGCTTGTAGAAATGGCATGATGAGAATGATCAGAACCTGACTCATTGCACCAGGTTTGACCCCAGTGCTGTCCTCACAGCTGCTGACAGTCATCAGCAATCAGAAAGTGAACATACAGAAAAGAAGAATTTTTTTTGCAGAAGGGAAATGGATCCCCTTCCACAAGTGAAAAATTTTCACACATCACTGTGCAGATATAGAATATTTATAAGCAACACAGAAGGAAGAATAAAAAGTCTTTGCATCTTCTAAACAACCTCCCCGTGGATTCGAGGCCTTTATAACTAGATCACTCGCAAACTAAAACAGTTTTATACTCAAGTGGCTGCTCTAAGCTCTGCACAACAAAAAAGACAGGCAGCAGACACTGCTGTGAGCAGCACAAGGTAGCTGACTTCTGAACAGGCACATCACAAAGCCATTCTGGCTTATTACTAGGGAACTCTACTCAACTGTGAATGCTCCCCAGAGCATTCACTCACCTTTGCTCCAGGTAGTGCAGCGCGTGCCTCACGAATTCCATGCGCACCTCCATGTTGGTCCGGACCTTCAGGGCATCGCTGGCAGGAACCAGGGTGACATCAGTCATTTGTTTCACCATGGCCCACATCTCGGAGATGTTCTGCAAGGAAGCCATTCCACACCTCAGCAATTAGTACAGAAGGAACGAGCGGCACTGCTTTGAGCTACGTGGTGCTTTGATGCTTAAGAAAAGCATAAAACCACAAGAGTAATGTCATTTTAGAGCTGTGCTGCAGACACTGGAGGCAGAATGAAGGTAAGCTGATGCTGTCCTGTGGAATTCAAATTTCACAGGCTTTTCTGCATAATTCTTGTCCAAGAAGATGGCTATAAACATTGTACCTGTGACTGTCACCCAGGATTGACAATTATTTCTCAAACTAGGCTGGGTACTTGGTGCTTGGCCTTTTGCTCATTTCCAGTTCACACCTTCCACTCAATAAATCCCACAGCACCACCAGCTTTCCACGTAAGCAATGGCTCTGGCTGCCACTGGAAAGCTGTAAGATCAGCTGCGATAAGAAGCATCAAAAGCACACTGATCACTTGGACAAAGGCTCAGTTATAAATAAAAGCTGAAGACAATCCAGGTCTGCTTATTCACAAGGACGAGATCATATCAGTGTCTACAGGCCTGGGGTGTCCCTGCTGAAACGGCAAAATACTGAGAACCACCAGCTCTGTTCACTTGGGCAAGGGCAGCTCTTTGATCCTCGTGCTTCAAAGCAGCAAGAACACTGAAATTCACTGCGTTGTCCCTTGGAAACAAACAGAGCTGTTCAGAGCAAAGATGCACATCTGTAATTCAGATCCGACTGAGGCATTTTCTGAACAGCTTTTTGCTCTCCCCACTTGCAGAGGTTTTCCAGGGCTCAGCCCTCCTGCAGGATTCTCCTCCAGGCATTTCCCAAAGATGGCCAAGTTTGTGCATTTGTTTTGGTTTTGGGGGACCAAGGCAACACCATTACAGGAATAGAAAAAAAAGTAGGCAGATCATTGGTTTAAAGTCAATCCTAGGGGCTCTATGCTTTGCTATGGGAGCCTATTTCAGCTCTAACAGAGTGTGATGGAAAAGCCTTCACCTACAACTAAACACCTTCAAAGGACACCGAGAGACCACACTTGGAAAATCAAACCAACAGAATCTATTTAACATTAAAAGCAATTTTTTCCTCCAACAGCTTATCACTCATGATGGGACACCAGGGTCGTTTCTTCCTCACTGTGTTAAGAAATTTTCCCCATGACCAGCTTCGTTGCAGGTGGGCCCTGCTGCACTAGAGAAAATTCCAGTACTGGCTCTGTGTTTTCTGTGGAGCCACGCAAATTTTTTGGGCAGTATCAGTATTTTTCTCCTGATGTCAGCAGGCTGTTAATCACAGCTGAAAACAGATTAAAGGCATTTCCTTATGTTAACTCACTGGCAGTACCTTATCATCCAGTCCTGCAGTAGCAGCACAAAGGTCCACCAGGTTAGGCTGCAGATGTCCATTCACAATCTTCTCATTATAAATATAAATCTAAAACATAATTAAAGTAAGCATGTTTAACAACAAATATTATGCCCCTTCTCAGCCACAGCAGCAGAATCTGAACCAGGCTTCAAAAGCAGAGCCCCCAGCAAGTCCCTCTGCTCCCCTCCCACATTAACAGCTTCCAACCCAGCAGTGGAGGAACCTCGCCCCTCACCGGAGCTTCCACTGCGCCCCAGAGCCCCAGGCCTGCCTGAAGGCAGCAGCTCCCAGGGGTTCTGCAGGGCAGAGCACTGCACTGGATGCCCTGCTACACTAATTGCAGCTAATTGTTCAAGGACAAAGTTTCAGAAGTGACCTGACAACTGGATGGCTGTGATACTGCCCTGCACGGCATCCTCCTACCTGCTGACATAAAAGAAAGGGGATTTTGCTGTTTTGTGGCAGTGTTCAGGAAATGAACAGAAACCTGGCCCTTCAAAACCTACCCTTAAACATATACAAGCACGCATCCCCTCCATTTTAACTCTTGATTTCATTTGGCTTCATCTACTCTTGTTTATTCTACTCTCAGCCTAAAGACTGTCCACTATCTCTGAAAATAACAGTGCTAGAGAGGCAGTGCCATTGTACTTGAACTCCCTTTGTCACGTACTACTTCAGCATGCCCAGCATGCAAACAAGATGCAGAGCTCGGGACTGCAACCAGGATGCAGCATCAGTGCAATCACATCCACGGATGTCACTGCGTTCCTGAGAAACACTTGGAGCTGTCCATGAAGAACAATTAACCACAGCGGTGTAATTAAAACACATTTCCTGGTTGTTGATAAACCAGAGCAGCGAGAACTGCCTGATCTCAGGTCTCTGTCACCCACAGCCTCAAAGGACAGGCACAATTGTGCTGTAAGGAACACCCTCACTGCAGGTATATCACAGCAGGTGTGAACTAAATTAACGAACTATTAACAGCCACCAAATCAAACCTACGCTTTATCAGCACAACCATGCACCTTCTGCAGTTTGTTTCTTTCCAGTTGCCACAACTGAATGCAGATGTAGGAAAACAGATGCAGGAGCTGCTATCCCTGCCTCAGCACAGACTGAGCCAACACACACAATAACAGTGATTGTGTGCAAATTAGACCGTGCTTTGTCTACGTCGTTCCACATATTCCATTTTGAAAAAAATCAAGTCCTTTTCTTTCATTTTGTTCCCAACAGTGCTGGTAAACAGATAATCTCAAACAACAAAAGTAATAAATTGGTTATGTAAAGAAAGGTTTATCAGTTTTCCATGAAAATTTTCCGAGGGAGTCTAATGCTACCAGGCACATTAATTCAAAGCTGAGGCACTAAAGCCTCTCATAAGCAATGCCATTAAAATAGGATACAATTCGACAAACATCAGGATTAAGACTTCAGCATGTTTTTCTCTACACACATACACATGAGAAAAGTGATCTTCCACACGTGAGAATAAAGGGAATATAAACCCTTCATTTGCATACAATTATACATTGACACAACTCCTAAAAAAATACTGCTTTTGAAAAGTTAAAAGAATTTCAGTTTCTTTTATAAGCATAAATGCTTTCCACGGTCATATACGGTGTTTAGGATCTCTTTTGGACCAAAAAAGTCCTACAGCACACAGGTCAGAACGCTTCTAAAACATCATGCAATGTTTACATTATTTGCCAACCGCATTTCATCTCTGGGCAGATACTTTAATGTTTTACTTACCACGCTCAAATCTTCATTTCCCCTGCCCCCCTCCCTGTAGAACACGATGTTTAACTGTGTTTTGCCATTTCCACTCACCTGACGAGCATAAGCCATCTCCACACTGTCCAAAGAGCTGCGCCCTGGAGGACCCACCTCACCAGCATAGCTGGGCTGTTCAATGGGAAGGAAATAGGAAGGTATAAAGTGCACAGTTACCACAATGCATTTTACCAACACATCTGCTCCCAAAGAGCAAGAGCAAAACCGTGTTCCTGACAGAACTAAGAGCAGGGGTTTGAGCTATCTACAGAGAAAAATGCAGTCTCACTGCAACACCCAAATATCTTCCCAATATAGCTTGAACTTTCTGAAGTGACAGAAATCCTCCTTACTCAGTGCACAAGCCAACCATTAGCTGTCTAGAATTAGGACATCAGTGTCTCTTGGTAGCACCTTATAATTTTAACTCTTTGGTTTTGTTTCTGAAAAGGTTGTTTCTGTCAGGGTCTTGCTGTGAAGCATCTTGTCCGAACCTCTGTCACAGCAGGGGCATGGAATTCAATGGCCCAGCTCAAATGGATCCAGTCCAGCACATCTGACACTCCAGTTTTGCCCCAGTACCATGACACAGACACCAAGCAGGACTGCAGCATTCAATGATGTGCTGAAAAGTGCCCCACTGCTGTCTGCTGCAGGAAGAAGTATGCTGGCAACATCCTGACCTGAAAAAAGTCTTTTTACCCACAGAGACTACGCCAGGATTGAGATATTTTGAGTGTAGAGCAGGGAGAGACAGCTGATGGAGTCACAGCATGGAAAATTCATACTCTTATAAAACTCAAAATACAACGTGCCATAATAGTCCAATTCTGCATAAAGCTATTCTTGTGTGTTTTCATTACAAAGCACTGGGGTGTTCTCAGTACAGCCACCACTGAACACACATGGTCACCACCCTGCAGGACAGAATACTCCCAATTAACTATGCAATACTGCCTGATACTTCCTGCTTCCTAAAAAAAATGTAACTTCATTTCAGCATCAGCATTGCAAGTCTTGGGTTTGAAACATAAAGTGTAATCATTTTAAAGACAGATCCCTTTGAGGCAAGCAGTCCTTTAATATCAGCTGCCTCATAAGCCATGCTGGTCTGAAGATAAAAGCAAGACAAGCTCAGTACAGAAGCATAATATTTATTATGAAGCCAACTGACATAGTTGGGGCAAGGCAAGAAGGAACAGACAAGCTTTCAGAAGAGCAAGCAGCTTTTCAGGCTTGTTACTGTATAACTCTAGCCCATCAATATTCATCTACATTGGAATCAGTAACTTTTTCCAAGAAAGAGCAGGTACACCTGCAGAATTTTAAAATTAAGCTTTTTACCAAAAAAGCTGCACACCCTCATTAACTGTTACACTGCACTTTAGCAAAACTGTCAAACAGCTTTACTTCTCCTCACATCAGTTACCCAGAGTGTCAGTGCTTTACTGTGCAGGCAGGATCACCTCCTGGTATGACCTAAGGACGTGCTCTGGTCTTCCTGGAAGAGGTCACTTAAACGTGGCCAACTTGCTACCTGTACAAACATCATCAATTCCAAAGGCAAGGGAAAAAAAAAAAATCATCGTTTTCACTTTAGTCAGCTGCAGAGTTCAGCTTTGCTGACACCTGTCAGGCTGCAGCATGGCAGGAGCAACGTTCCTGCCATGACCTGGCTCGTGTGCGTTTCAGGAAGAGATCCAGAAATGGGGAGCATTTCTCCAGATGGTGCCATCATTCAGCTTCTTGTTTCAAATGAGGATGAAATGCTGGCAGGGCCTTCAAAAGAATCTCACTTTTTAGGGAACTGTATCCCAACTTGAAAATTAAATAATACAAACATATGAACTTCCAGACATGTCACTGATCAGTTTTGCACTGAACACTCTCTCAGTCATTCCCAAATTAATTTCATTTGTATCTCAGTTTAACCCAGAATACCTCCTACTGCTCCTTTAGACTCATGAGCAAAGACACTAAATGTGTTCTTGCAAAGACAGTGGCTCCTCACTGTCCCAGTCCAGGAGTTTTGATCAGGCAAGTTTTCCCAATTTAAACTTTAGAAACAAACAAAGTGACACAATTGCAGTGACCAAGTGTTCTGAACTAGCCAGGAATTCATAGGTGAAGATAAGGACACCGACCTCTATCAGGAAGCTGTAAGAGCTTTGTGCCATCTGTGATTACTGCTTTCTGTGCAGTAAACAACAACTGATTACAGAACAAAAACACTCAGTTGTGTTTGTCCCTAATATAATGAATTATAAATGAATGAAGGTACCAAAGACAAACCTGGACAATCCTTTAAAATTGCTGGGATTAGTTTATTACCGCATTAATTTCTCACTAATAATGGTATTTGAATAATGTCCAACCTGATTACAGAATCAGGCAGGTGCATTTATACCGTGGGCTGTATAAAAACACCTTACAAAAAACCCAAAAGAAATCCCACTTTTTCTTTTTGCAACTGAACTTACACTAAAAATATTCCTCACAGTCCCTCTTAATGGATCCCGATATTCAGGAGCATTTGCATTTTTCTTTCAGTGCCAAACGATGTGACACAAATTCCTTTAAACCCACCTGAAAAGCGACAAATTCTTTGTTCTAAAGAACAAAGGAGCTGTTAAAGCAGGTTTCCTGGGAAACAGACACGAGGCAGAAATAGCGCTCTGCAGCCTCCCCCTTGGCTGGGCCTGAGAAAACGCACGGTTATTTAAAGTAACGCTGAATTATGGACACTGGCATTAATTACTGATGAGCTCCCATCTCCTAGAGCAAGGGAAGGATCGCACATAGTGACTTGGTGTCACTTTTGAACCCGTGCCCAAGCACCAGACACGTAAGGACTGGGGTTTTGCCTTAGGAACCTGGTTCCTTCTCCTGCTTTGCGGCACCCAAGAGCACCCACGTGGCGTGTGACTCCAGAGAGTGGGGTGTGACTGCTGGGTTAAACCCACAGGTAAGCCCTAGGATTCAAAAGTGCATGCCTGAAACCAAGAAAGAACTTCTCTGGGATTTGTGTTTTCCTTTCCTTTCTCCAGTTTTAATTTCACCCTAACCATTATGCTTTGAGGGTCACTTATTAACAATCTCCCATAGCTGAGAGCTGCCACATTTAAATTCTTTAAATGCCCACTACTGATTTGGCACCTCAGAAAAAAATATTCATAATTATTCAAAATAACTCCAGAATTTGTCCTGCTTTTGTTACGTTTTATTTTGTATGGAAAAAGAGCCATGGAAGCAAGCTTATTTCTTTTTTTTTTTTTCCCATCTCACACATGCATTCTGGCTTAATCTTTGAATTATTAAACTTGAACAAAGCACTTGCTCACTGAACTGTCTCACGGCTGTGCTAAAAGGAAAGTTCAAAAGGGAAAGTGAAGCAGTGAGTCAGCATGGGGAAGGTCACTTCCACTCCTGCTAAACTGCAGAAAGGGAGAGCTGTGCAGGCAGTATTTCTGTAGAAGGATGTAACAGGCACCCCCTACACACTAAGTGGGGATGTGGGAATGGAAGAGGATACCCCTTGCTGGCAAGTCAGAACTTACCAAGTGTTCAGACAAGGAAAAGGTAACGAAAGATGTGCTCAAATCAGCAGCCAGGAGCATACAAGAAGAATTCTGCTTCAGGTCAGGTTTTCAAGTTTAACTGGAGCAGCAAAAGGGAAACCAGAAAAGTGGGGAATGCACAAAGGACCGTGGAAACACAAGTGCACACACACACACCTTTCTGCATCTCTAGTCTGATATTCCTTAAATGCCTTGTGCTGTTTTTCTCAGACACCTTTGCTTTTCCCTGCCCTGAATTTAGGCCTTTCCAAAACATTCTTCAGAACCTTAATATTTATTCTGACTGTTATCCGTTTCTGAAAGCTGCAGCTATGCTGCACTGCCATCACATTTTAATCCTTTAAATTCACTTAGCCTAACGATGCTGGTTTCCAAAGGAGTCCTCCTTCATTTGTACTCAGCCAAGCATTCAGCCCCACTTGCACACCAAACCTCGTGCATGCAAGGATGCATTATTCATCACCCTCATATGCATATGCACATTCCTCAGCAGAAGTCTGGGCAGACATTTTGTCAGCACTCCAAATGGCTTGGCCAGTAGATGCAGTGAATAACTAGGCAGGAGACTGAGCTGGAGAAGCCTCACCAAAACACGCTGTGGTGGAGCAGAAAGCATCCTGCAGTCCTTGGGATTTAGGGGACATGAAGACAGGATACAGAGGGGCAGAACAGAAGACAAGAGCACCAGTGCCTCTTTGTTACTGCACGAGCAGGGTGCTGGACAGCAGGAGCGGAAGAGCTTGGGGCAAGGGTGGAAGAAATTAAAACTTGAAATAAAAGGACAGAAGAAATGCCTCGGCACCGAGACTCATAGAAAAACACCTTGAGAGCACAGGTGTTTGATACCTTGAAAACAAAACTCGGGCTTTCCTCCCTTTCCCCCCTGCCAAGAAGCACCTCTTTACCCACTCCGGTTTTCCCTGATGGGAAGAAGGCCAGGCTGGAGGACAAGGGGGAGAAAGCCCTAATGGCAAGTCCTGTGCTGGGTTCTTTGAATTGTGAGCTTTGCCTGTTAATTGGTCTGATTTCCATGAATAATGTGTTGGTATTTCACTCTTGCCCAAATTAGCTTGCCCGAAGCTTGAGAATTGGCTCGCAGGCAGACCGGCCCCCTGCTGCCTTTGGATCTGTGCCTTTTCAGTTGATTCTCCATCTCCAGAGGATATCAATTAAACCTCCACTATATTCTACAGCCTGTGTCTGTTTGTGTCACACACACACAAAAAACTTATTTGACTGGAACAAGGCTTTAGAAGAACAACCTGCTGTGGGGAGGTTAGATAACAGGCTTTTAACACAGTAGATGCACTTCAAACCTCTCAGACCTTTGACTTCTCGAGGCTAAGACTGGAATATATCAAGGATTTTAAATGCTCTTGAAATGATATACGGATACTATGAGTGCTTTGAAACGGAGAGTGGAGTATTACTGAGTGATGGTGCACGTTGAGTCTTTAAACTCAGTCATGAGAAACATTAGGAGGTGGGTTTTTCCCCTCCTCCCTCCCACCAATTTGATGCTTGGCATCTCGAGTGCCATGGACTAGAGGTAGCATCCATTTGACACTGAAACACCAGGAAAAAGTGCTTTACCTGTTCAGAGTGGGTTACAATCAAAGATGTTAGAAGTTATCAGTGTAGCTGCCAAGTTTTCAGACTCACAGCCTAAAATAATCCGGTAGCTGTTCCTAGTTTTAAATTAATTCAGTCTGCATTATTTAGCATTTCTAATATTGGAAAGCTGGACAACCTTTGAGAAGTCACAGTAAAGTATCACTGAAATACTTTCTGGGGAAGAAAGCCTCTATAAAAAGATGTATGCTAACTGGGATTAACCTATATTTAAAAGAACAGTAATCAGAAAGGGACATTCCATTAACACCTAATTATTTCCAAATCCCTATACAGGTCATACCCCGTTAGCACCAAGGGCTTTTTTATTTTAATATACTTGCAGGTCTGTAAGTCATTCCAATGATCAAGAATTCATTTTCACGAGGGGAGAACATAGCTTTTAAAAAATGGGTCTGCTTTCTGGCCTGAAAGCACAGCAACTTGCACTCCCCCATTCCTTATCACCTCTGCTGTCAAGGTGAGCACTCTCCTGGAGCGCTGTGCAGAGCCTGTGATGTAACTTTGTGCTGCTGTCTGAGGCTTCCAGATCAGAGAGGTGAAGTTCCCACAGCTCAGCACCTAACTCTGCTTTACTCTATTCATTTACCTGCAGCATTTTCCTTAAGGGAACAAACTGTAAAGTTTTAGGTTGTTACAGAAGATAAGGAATGTTTTGAGATGCTAGTCAATGCTTCTTCATGTAAAACATGGGGTTAGTCTTGCCCAAAGGATTTGGTAACTACCGCATTAAACTTGAACTGATGAACACTAGAGGTCTTAGCAGCACAAAATTCTAATCTGCTCTGCATGAGACAGCAAGATAAAAAGGAAAGTTTTTCTTTTTTTTTTTTTTTTTTTTAATATTTTGCCAAAAAACCCTGTGAGACTTGATCAGCTTCCTAAGAAAATGCAGAAATCCTGTCTAGCACACAGTGATAAGGGAGAGAGATGCTCTAAGACCTACATGTAAGCACAACTGCAGCTGAGAACTGTCTGGTCTCACCAGCAGTGTAAAGGTTTCCTGAAGGTGAAGTTCCCCGATGTGCTTGCTGTCCCCTGGGTATACTGAGCTGATATGTGTCTGTGTGACCATTTCCAGCTTGCATACATGTTCCTAAAACACACCTTCAGCAACAGGAGCTCCACTGCCCGCACCCATCAGTCAGCAGAGACAATCACAAACGTTTGCTATTTTGCTAGACAGTGCATTCTGCTAGTCACTGTCACTCTGGAGTCAGAGAAGAGATTGGATATTTCTCATTTTCACCCAGTTGTAGCTGCAGAGTAACCCAGAGGTGGTTTCAGCAGCGCTGGAGTGCCAGCTGTGTACGGTGCCGTGCATGGCTGTGCAGTGTTTAGAAGGACAGAGTTACCTCGTTTTCCTGGGTGAAATCGAGAGCATCTTCCCCTGATGCAAGCAGAGAATGAAGAATCCTTTGTTTCACCTGTTCCCATTCCACCAGCATGGATTCTCGGTGATACTCCTCAGCCATAGCAAATGTCTGTTGGTGAAGAAGAACGAGAGCTAAGGAACACACAGAAACAGCCAGCAGCCTAGTTCTGCTATTAATAGACAAGCCCAAAAATGAAACAGAAAATAGCATCTACATAAATCAATCAGGTCAGCCCTCAGGAGCTAATGGTGTGCTGCATATTATTTTAACAGGCTTCGTGCTCAGGTGTAGGGGGATTTGGAAAGTAGGTGTGTGTGGAATTAAGACAACTCTCACATACCTCCAGCTGGTAAAAGAGGGAAACTGTGCCTCTTCCATGGCACTGCAATGCACAAATCTGAGCAGGCTGGAAATGAATAGGCCTGCTTCTCTAACTCAACAGCACACACAATATATCCAGGTCGTCACTGATCCGTGTGGCTTGTTGAGACTTAACTTCTCTTATGACAACCAGCTTTTCACCTCCCCAGAGGCTACAGAGGTCTGACTCACTGTGTTCTTAACAGAGATGTGTGTTTATTGCCCATAACTCATTTTCAGGTCTTTACCAGTGTGTTTGTCTTTAAAATGGGAAATAGGATAAAATAAAAGGTAAAAGTATTACGGGAAAATTAACCAGTGACAGTGAATCAGAAAGCCTCTGTCATTAGGAATGTAACTCAGGAAAGCCCATGGGAAAAATCGTATCCCAATAAAAAACTATCCTTTTACCTTGAAAATGGCTGATGTACTAGATTGTCTTCAGATTCAATTGGGAACACACGGAAGGAAACAGCTCAATAACCCTTATTTTGGCAATAGCATTAGGATAGAGAAGATGCTTCACTACCTTTCCTGTTATTGCTGGGGTGAGACTAACAGCCTTGGGTATCCTGGGACAGGAAATGAGAATATCTCCACTGATTCTAAGTAGAGAATAGGCTATATTGTGTCTTCCCCTTCTTTCCCTTTCACATAGCAATGTCTTGGTTGGCTGACTGAGTTTTTAATTTCTTTGCAGTCCACTGTTAGGACATTGTCAATTAATGGGCAGAATGCTCCCCAGAATAAACCAATTGATGAGAGGCAATGACATTTGGCAAACATTTAATTAGGGTGCAACTAGAGCATCAGATTTGTGTTTCTTTGTTTCGTTATATAAATTCACACTTTCATGGTAGGATATAGGTCTCATCCTTACCTTCACTATAATAATTTCAACAGGGTTTTAAATATGCTTCCATAATTACAGTATAATTATATGTAATTAAAATAATTTAATAATGCTTAAGTACTATTTCTTATAATTTGAAAGAAACACGGGCTGAGTTCTAAACCTGATGCCCGAAGTGTACATGGAAGGAAACAATAAGCATCAGGAAGCATGGAATGACATTTCCAAGAAGCAGTTTTAAGACAAACAACAGGAAGCGTTTTTCCACACTGCATAATTCAATTGTGAAAATCATTGCCCCAGAACATGACAGATACCAAAAGCACAAACAGATTCAGAAACAGGATCAGATGAATTTCACATCAGAAAACAAGCCGCAGCTCAGATCATCTTCAAAACAGCTACTTGTTTGGAGGTGAAAAGACAGGAGATGAACAGGGGAAGGCTAACTCTGACTTTCTCTTACACACTAAGTACTGGTTCCTTTCAAGGGAAGGAAAACGGGACTCCACAAACCTCTCCCTTTTTTGTTTTAAGGAAAAAATGGTGCTTTCTTCCAACTTACCCTCCTCCTGGACTCTTCAATGGCAGACAGCAATGCATTATCTTTTTCATTTTTCAGGAACCCCTGCAGAAAAGGAGAAACAGAGCTTCAGACAAAATAATCAGCCTTGCACTCGCACCATTGTAGCACTCAGCTCTTTCAGCCCTGAGAAGAGCTCAGAGCTCTCTCCCCAGTCCACTCTGGAGAAGTTTAAAGGTCACTTTACTTCATGAGAGGTGCAGTAAGATGCCCGTACAGAGCAATGTGAAAATGAAAATGCATTAATCCCCTCTTTTAATATGCATTAAATCCTGGTGAAATGTCCTGCTTCTATTCTCTTTTATCTCTGTGTCCCAGCATCTGCTTCCTCTTGCTCTCCATTCGAGGGAGCTGGGATGAAAGCTGGTAGGAGCGATAAGCCAAGATAAGATTGTTGGGCTTGAGTATGCTGAAAAAAATAAAAGAGGCTTTGACTTGGCAGCTTCAGGCAGAAGTGGAGCTCTTGGAGGACCGATGGGAGCTGTGCAAAAGAGCCTTAAAAATAGTCAGTTGAGGAAGGATGGAAATAGCTGAACAGTTGGAAAGCATACAGGAAAAGTTTACCACAGAGCCTCTCTCCACACATACAGCTGGAGTGAGTAAAAAGAAGAATTTTTTGTAATTTTCAGTGTATCAGTAAATCTCAAAGAGGTCAGGTGTACGTGAACAGACTGATTTAGATGAGCTGTTAGCTCCTTATCTCCAGGGTTACCTCCATGACCTATACTAGGAAATATAAAATAGTTTTAACTTTAAACAAGTAGCCAGGTAAACTGCACAAGAGGCAACAATCAGGATATATTTATCACACCTTAACTTGAATAATCCTTATTTTGCATTTTCACTATTACATCACCAATTAAACAAACCAAGTTGATTTGTACTCCCACACTTCAACTTAATCATTATTCAGATCACAAAAAAGAAGCCTTTGTCTCCCTCTGAAGTAATCAACTATAAATTATCAACTCCATTAAGTGCTAATATCTTAAAAGCCTGTACACTCATTACACAGCTCTAAAACCAAGAGCTGCTAATAAACCTGGAGTGGGGACTCAATGGACCACACTGTGCTTTTACAGAGAGCACACAATTGCAGCAGTGACCAACTGAATTTGTCAGGAATCAGGAGGGTTTTGTGCCTTCCATGCTCCCCATCTTCCTGTCACCCCCTTCAGCCAGAAATAGGAGCGTGACCCCTTTCTGTGCATCAGAGGGAGAACAAGCAGCCATCTCCTGTGATGCGGCTCCCCAGACACACGGACGGCAGGGCCGCTTCCCCCCAGCCTGTTCTTCGCTTCCCCAGCCACCATGGCCTGCTTTATTTTTAGGCAATGCCCGCAGAGAAATCACACCTGAAGAGGGGAAGCTAAATCCAGCTCCTTGTACATGTCTGGGGACCAACTATCACAGCAGCTGCCACTGACACAAGGGTGCCACAGTCACCCAACTGGGCCAAGCCCCGGCCTCGGTCAGGTGGGGAGGGATGGACACGAGCTTTGTAAGGCTTTGTCCATGTCTGCATGGGCAAAAGGACTTTGGGAGGGCAACAAGTTTGTTGGGCTTCTTTTTGTTGTTTGTTTGGGATTTTTTTTTTTTTTTTTTTTTTTTGCTTCATTTCCCCACCTCCAACCTAAAGTGAGGAAAAGTTATCTGGAATTAGAACAAGCAGCGCTTCTACACCTCCAAAGCACACACCAACATATGAGCAGAGGAGACAGCTGCGTTTCTGATGGTAGGGGTGTGCTGCTGCAGAGAACAGTGTGCTGGCTGTATTCTAACAACACTGTTAATTGTACAGGCAAAACCAGCCCCATCTCCAACACCCAGACCTGTGGCTACCTGGATGCAGTGGAGGGTGTGAGCTTGCAAAGGTCCTGGATGCCTGGCTCCCTCCTCATTCTGTGAGCACTGGAGCCAGTGCTCAAGAGATACGAGTCCTATATGAGTCCTACCTTTATTGCCCTTGGTTTCCCTCTGTCCTTGGAGGGATGTGTGCCCTGAGCTGAGCAGGTACGTCCTACAAATGTACACAGCAATGATGGCAATCGACAGAGTAATTTAAGACGTGCTTGAACTTCCCTTGATGTCAGTAAATGCAGGCTGAGGATTTTAATGAAACCACCCAGCTCCCAGAGAGTTCACTAGGTCCATTTAAGGGATTACATTACACTGAATGCCAATTAGAGGATGGTAATTGTCTTTTTCAATCTCAAAAACTACTCTTTTAGCAAAAGAAAATCCTCACACATTCCAAATAATATCGGTAACGCCTCACTGAGGAGAGGTACATTTTAAAAAGGTTGCCCTATGTCTTGGGCTAAACATTATGACTGTAGCATGACAATTGCTGCTTCACTTAATTACAGGCTAATTGTTAAACCTCAGAAGAGGGAGTTTCAGTGACTGATGCTGGAGCTCCTGTTACTGCTCGTGAGACTGACTCTGCTTAGTTAGGCCCAGCAAGAGCTCCTGGGGGTGTCACTCCCGGTTTCCGTGGCCAGAATTTCACTCGCTAAGAAAGTGAGGGGTGTCTGGCTGCTGATTCCCCGAGTTTATCCTATTGCCACCTAGTGGTGCACTACACTTTGGTCACTGGACATGGAGATTTCAGACATGCAGAAATGCACACAAGTGTACCCCTGCTATATGAAAAAGCAGAGCTCTGGAACAAGGATGGGCAGAAAGATGGAGAAGATGTGCCTTACGTCAGAGAGTTTTGGTCCTCAAAAACCCCAGGCCACAACTTTAAGGGTTCATATATCTCTTAGGAAGCCTGGGCTGTGAGCAGTGCAGGTTGTGCTCACCAGTAACACCTGCCCTCAAGCTTTCCACAATCCCAGAGGCGAGGTTTGGCTTTGGCAGGAAGGCTCTCAGGCTGTACCAAGGGTATTGGTGGTGCAGCTCAGCACGCGCGGGGAGTACATGACCCAAACCACCCTCTCAGGGGAGGTGCTGCTCCTGTACAACAGCAACGAGACACACTGGGCATCCAGCGAGAGGAGAACAGAGATTACTGTCACAAGACAAAAGGCTAATTCACAGCGGCAGATGACAACAATAGGAACAGCCCACGCGAGCATCGCTGAAACCTCCGAGGCGCGAACCTCACCTTGCAGCTCCCCGTGCACCAGCTCTGCCCTCGCAGGGTTCCCAACACAGCCTGGATTTTACTTGAAAATTAAAATGAAGGCTTACTCAGAAAGCTCACAGAGCGCTAATGTCACATCACTCTGCTCTCCTTTAGTGAGTGGCTTTTGATTTTCCTCTGTTACTGTGGGACTCCCACACATTCTTCCTGTGTTTAGTTCGGAAGGGAAGCGGCACGAGTCTTCTCCATCACCAGTTCTCTGCAAAACTCGCTGCTGAATGTTTCCCACACACCACTTGTACAATATCCGATGCGATGGTGTTTGAAAACAGGGACACAGGCACAGAAATACACTCACTCTCCCACCTTCAGCTTCCCGTTTTCAGTTAGTCCTGCCTACTCTTACACGTCTACTGACTCACAGCATCTTTCCCAAGCACGTTACAGATCGTCTTCGATCTCCTGCACTTTGAATTGCAGGCCGATCTTCTCACACTCTCCCATTTCTGCTGAAATCCAGCCCCACTCTGCCTTGCTCGAGGATGGTTTGTAGAAGAGGTCCCACCAGTGGAAGGGCAGGTGTCTGCGTACCCCCCGTACCTGTGCCACCTCCCTGTTCCCATCTCCCTCCTTGCTGCACTGTTATTTCTCCTCTCAGACAACCACTGACAGACCGATTTGACAGGAACCTGCCTTGCTCCAGCCTGAATTCCAGCAAGAAAGTGTTCCAGTAATTCATTATCTGTATGAAAGGGCACCCACACAAGCACTGATGGCCCCTTTTTGACAGGAGACTGAAAGTCTCTTCCATTTACCGCAGTAAATAAGGTTAGTATACTCTCCTGGCTGAGAGAAGTCTCTTAATTACTTTCATCAGCCAGGCCATACTTTTAATACTTGATCTTGGTATTCAAGCTGTCAAGAGAAGGTGAATGTTGCCAAATAGTATACTGAGGCCTTGGATGTTGACAGCAATGGTTACTTTTTCACTGGCAGAGAAAGAAAGAAGAAAATGAAATGAGCAATCTGGGACCATTTCAAGTCAATTGCTCTTCAATTAAAATATTTCCAAGTGTTGGATTTCCAGTAGATCCAGTGAATCCAGCATGGATGGTTAGCAAAAATCACCCTTCAGCGAAGGTTTGGGCACAGTAGCTCCAGGTAAAGCACCTGAATTTATTATCTTTGCTAGTAATTTAAAAATAAATTGTTCAATATAATTCTACTGCAACTGTGGACATGTCTGAGAACACTCCTGAGGTGGTGCACCCTGCCACAGCCCTCCTGGTCATGCTCTTTCTGGAACCAGAAAATGAAGCAAAACTACCTGGAACCCACTGCCACAATACAAGACCTTACTATGTATTATTGCTTTTTAATCCAAATTATTGTTTGTGCTGACACAAGCATCAGCACTTGCTGGTTGGCTTTCAATAGATTGGCCAAAGGGCCTGTAAGCCATGGGGTGGCCAACTATTGTATTCCTGAGGCTGGGGACATGCCAGAGTGGCATGGGTAGTGCTTTTCTCTAGTCACTCTTCCTGTGCATGCATGACACGAGTGCCTCTTGGAAGCAGATAAGCAGCTTCACTCCAGGCCTTGGCCAGAGCAAGCCTGTGTCCTCCACAGCAGCAAGGCAGCTGCCCAAAGATCAGCCACCAAGCACAACCAGCCAAGGTCATTTGTGAAATTGGCTTTCTCCTTGGAGAACTTCAGATGGCAAAACTGCTACAGGGCCAAAACAGACTGAGGGCCTGAGTGCAGAACCCCCAGAGAAGAAGAGAACCCAAGGAAGGGTTCAGTCAGGATGACTTCAAAGCTGCCTGAGAGACAAGGAACGAAGGACTATACACAGACACGAAGGAGCACTGGAAAGGACCTGATGAGGCTCATCCCATTGTTCAGTCAAGGATTTAGCAAGACAAAACTTCCCCAGCCTAAGACAGCTGCACTT